ATCGATCTGGGGAGTTAAGCCCTTTTTAACTGATGTTATAGTTTGTTTTTATGTTGTACTGTTAGACCACTGTCCCAGGTTAGGGGAGGGTTGGCGCCGGCAAACTAGTTTAACCCCGCCACATTCTGTATGTGTCTGTCCCAAGTCAGGAGCAGGTAGTTCAGTGGCTGTCGTTTGTTGTTGTATACCATATTTGTTTTTCGTTCATTGTTTTGTACATAAATCAGGCCATTAGTTTTCTAGTTTGAATTGTTTTTACATTTGTCATTTCGGGGCCTTTTATAGCTGACTATGCGGTATGAGTTTTGCTCATTGTTGAAGGCTCTACGGTGACCTATAGTTGTTAATTTCTATGTCATTTGGTCTCTTGTGGAGAGTTGTCTCATTTGGCAATCATACCACATCTTCTAATTTTTATGTTTACAAATAAAGTTCGAAGTTTATGAGCATTGAGGACCCAATACAATACACATACATTGTCGGAAAAAATATCCTGTATCGATCGTAGCTATTATAAATAAGATATGTACTTTACAACAATGTAATTATATTCATTTTATACTGTAATTTTGCATTTTGTTCCAAATCGTTGTCGTCTAAAAATCGTCATCCATTGAATGCGAGCCACGAAGAGGAAAACAAACTTAACTGTGAAGTAAACAGTATTTCTATTTAGTGATATGACCGTTTGCTCAAACTTGAAGTAGGATACCAGAACGCTTTAGTTGAATACTGAAGAACGAACTTATAAGAGCAAAATGGGTGCTGTTCCTCCCCAATCCTATAAACGGCCCTGTTTTATTGCGATAGATTTGACTGCATGAAATTTCATGCAAAAGGAATGTTATTTATAACATCTAGTTGGTGATGGTTTGACCTAATATGTAATTAATAAAATTGAGAATGGAAATGGGGAATGTGTCAAAGACACAACAACCCGATCAAAGAGCAGAAAACAGCCCAAGGCCACCAATGAGTTTTCAACACAGCGAGAAAATCCCGCACCCGGAGGCGGGCTTCAGCTAGCCCCTAAACAAAAATGTGTACGAGTTCAGTAAAAATGGACGTCACACTAAACTCCGAAACATTAATGAACTAAAATTAAAAAAAAAACTATTTATCTATTCCACCTATATAGCTCTAGGATAGATATGCAGCTATACGTTGAAGTGTAAGGAACATATGTAAAACGAAAACTTTATTCTATAATACTTGTTATATAAAAATAAGGAGATGTGGTATGATTGTTGTTTGTTTATTGTGTAACGTCTTGGTTGATTTTAACCAAATATATAGCGGTAAAAATTGCATAACGTTTAGGACTTTTACATATTAAAAATTATAAATCTGCAGTGTTCCTATTCTAAATGGTTGGAAATTTGAACTGCGACTGGGAAAAATGGTATATCGGATTTGAAAAATAATTTGTCTTGAATAACAGAACCTATGGAATCCGAGGTCCCGTGTTCAGGGAGTACCTAGCTCTTTGTACGTTAAAGATCCTTCTCAACAAGCTCTTTTTGCGTGGTCCATAAGTGACCGGTTGTTTGGCAAAATTATTTCATACTGGTTTTGGCTTTGATATATTTGTCTGTGGTTTATAATTTAACTATATGGTAATTTGGTTTTCATGGTCTAACTTTTGTCTAAAATCTGTTAGTATTCCTACTTTGATGAGTTGAGCCTTTTTTCAATTAATGTTTTATAGTGTGTCCTTTTATGTCGTATTGTTATACCACTGTCTCAGGTTAGGGTGAAGGTTGGCGCCAGATAAAACGTTCAAACCCTCTGCATTTGTTTGCCCCTGTCCTAAGTCAGGAATCTGTTGTTCAGTGGTTGTCGTTTGTTGATGTGGTTCATAAGTGTTTCTCGTTTCTCGTTTTTTATATAGATTAGACCGTTGGTTTTCCTGCTTGAATAGTTTTACACTAATCATGTTTGGGCCCTTTATAGCTTGCTGTTCTGTGTGAGCCAAGGCTCCATGTTGAAGGCCGTACTTTGACCTATAATGGTTTACTGTAACAAGTTGTGACTTGGATGAAGAGTTGTCTCATTGGCACTCATACCACATCTTCTTATATCTATGAACGAATAGGATAAATGTCGTGGAAAATGTTGATTCTAAAAAGACCAAGGTTTATAGTTCAGAAATAATTTTGTAAGAAATTTTATTTTCAGTTTTTAGGTTAACCTCATAGAAAATATGCAAAGCAGACGACAGTGTGTGGATAAATGTAACAAGAAACAACCTCACCTCTAGGTGACCCTGGCACCGATCAAGGATCCGAATTTCAGATACGTCCTATGTATAAACACAAATCAGACTGAGTTCTTTCAAATCGATTTTCGTCATTTATATTAATTAGAAATTTGGGGAAACATCAACCCACCGAAGTATAAAAATACTTGCATATGTATGCTTAATCTTTTAATTAAAATCTCATGGTGACTGTTCTATTTAAGGGTAAAAGAGTGCATTTCAATTGATATTCTAAAGTGTGTCTTTCTATGTTGTGATGTTACACTATTGTTTCAGGTTAGGGTGCAGGTTGGTGCCTGTTGAAACGTTTAAACCCGCTGCATTTGTTTGCACCTGTCCTAAGTCAGGAACCTGTTGTTCAGTGGTTGTCGTTTGTTGATGTGGTTCATAAGTGTTTCTCGTTTCTCGTTTTTTATATAGATTAGACCGTTGGTTTTCCTGTTTGAATGGTTTTACACTTACCATTTTTTGGAGCCCTTTATAGCTTGCTGTTCGGTGTGAGCCAAGGCTCCGTGTTGAAGGCTGTACTTTGACCTATAATGGTTTACTTTTACAAATTGTGACTTGGATGGAGGGTTGTCTCATTGGCACTCATACAACATCTTCTTATATCTATATAGTATGAAAAAAGGAAATGAAGATATGGTTTTTGAAGGAGCGTGAAATATAATTACAAATTTAAGAACAATTTTCGTCGATTTTATGTACTTTCTATACGAATGTTCACCTATATTGAAAGAATTCATTTAAATTTCTCGTTAGGAATGTTTTACATTTTTCATTTCGGGGCTTTTTATAGCTGACTATGCGGTATAGGTTTTGCTCATTGTTGAAGGCCGTACGGTGACCTATAGTTGTTGTCTTCTATGTCGTTTGGTCTCTGGTGGAGATTTTATAATTGAATTGTTTTTCGATTTCAACGAACCAAAGTTGTATGCAATATTACCAAAATCTGTGTCATTGTCCATTTACTGTACCTTGACCTTAAGACGAACTTAATGTTGCAATCGTCATAACCACAATCCCGTCCTCTCTTCCTCGAATATGACCTACCGAATTAGACGTATCACAGAGTTTGTACTTATGGGTAACACAACGGGTGCCACATGTGAAGCAGAATCTGCTTTCCCTTCCGAAGCAGCTGAGATCGCCCCTGGTTTTTGATGGGGTTCGTGTTGCTTATATAATAAAAAACAAGGCGATACGTTATGATTGCCATTGAGACAACTATCCATCAAAGTTCAAATGAAGTGAATGTAAGCAATTATAGGCAACCGTACGGCCTTCCAAAATGAGAAAAACCCATACCGTATAGTCTGATATAAAAGGCCCCGACATAAAAAATATGAAACAAAACAATTTACGAAAACCAAATATGACAGACATCAGCCAACGTAACAACTAAACTACAGGCTCCTGACTTGGACAAGGCACATAAATAATGTGGCGGGGTTAAACATGTACAACCCTCCCCTAACTTGGGACAGTGGTGTAACAGTATACATGTAACATAAGAACAAACTATAAAAATCAATTGAAAAGTGGGGATCGTTTATTTGTTTACATCGGTTCCGTAATTTCATGATTTTTTTTTAAATATATTTCCTCTAAATGAATCTACTCTGCAGTGGATACCAATGCAAAACTAAGAGTATCATACTTTTGTGTTGGATTGCTGTCTCATTGATGTTTATCCATAACCCTTGTGTATTCATTTAGAGGACTATTTATTACACGTATTACATTATAATTTGTATTATATTCATGTAAGGATCACACGACATACATGTACATTTGTACTTTAATAGATTCAAACAAGGTTTTGTTTCCGGATCCTATTAATTATTCAAATGTATTAAGATGTTTATGCCAAATTGTGTATATTATGTAACTTGAATTAAATTAATAAAATGTATATACAATAACGAAATCCTTGTTGTTCGGTTGCAACATCGGATACATTTTATAGCGGATGATAACTCATGCAAAGTGTGTTCCAATTTGTTCAAAAGTTTCAGAAGTAAGTATTCTTCGATTTATAACAACACATTGATAAAAAAAAGAACTTTTAAATGTTAGCACCAGCTCCTATAATTAAACAAGTAAAACAAAATCTATTTTTATGACCATTGCATTTACAACTTTTATATCACTTTTGCGCCACTTGGAAATTGGGTTAAATTTCCCTTCGCTTATACTTGTTCTGGTCGCCACGTACATGTTATCAAAAAACATTCAATTCACTAAAAGTGTTGTATAAATTGGAATATAGCAAACATATTGGGCAATAATCTTAAGTATATCATTAGTAACAACCGATTTGCGGCAACTTGAAGAATAGGAGATCTCATTAATAAATTGCTTTTTAGGAAAACATATATCTCCGCAGAATATAATTAATGTCTTGTTAATTACTTGCCACTGTAATTTTCATCAACCTTTGTTTATCTGAGAAATGCTGTACTACAGTATTATGTTAATTAATTTGACACGTGTATTGCATGCTCAATGTCGACTGATGACCTTCGCAGATTGTTATTACTACATGTAGTACCAAATAATAGATGCATAATTAAAGAAAAAAAATAAGAAGACAGGAATTCCTCTTGTAACATTGTATGTGTCTGAGACATTATAAATAAAGAATTTTTAACTTGAACTTGGAAAGAAGTAAACTCCATATTACATTAGTTTAATATGTTTTATATAGTTAAAATCGTTTTGATACCGATATGGTGAATACACATCCACTTAAACGGTCGATAGAAACTTTAATTTGTGTACTCGTATACATGGGTCGTAAAGTAATAACTTCCTCGACTTTGTTTACTCAAATGTGTTGTTTACCATTGATCAGTAGATGTAATGGGAATTTATTTTTCTATTAAGGTAGGTAAAACGTCAATTGTTTGTCAAGAAATCCAACTTGAAAATGTTAATTTCACACTGATTTAGACGCCCGGTACAAGTACCCATCCCGGTGGTGTTGTGTTGCAGTCAGGTATAACCTACCGGGGGAGAGGGGTGGCGGTGTCTTGTCGTGAATTTGAAAATATTTTCGAAATGTCGAACTTGCGTTTGATACATTTCAGATGAAAGAGTATAATTTATGCGCCACTTTAAATTCTCTTATCCATTTATAACTACTATTCAACTCGACCCTAGCTTCAAACTACATGCTGTATATATCACCGAACTGTTGTCATTCACCGAAAGCTTCAATCAATATATTCCTTCTGCAATGGACCGCTTTTTTCCAGCGATTGGCCAGAGTCGAGGTCCGTGAGGCATTCCAGACGGACGACGACATTGCTTACCTATTGCATACGTAATAAGACTTAACAAACTAATAAACAAAATCGACGATACTTATCTATTTTCGAAGTAAAGAGTTTTAATGTCCCTTTATTATCTTCTGCCTCTCTTTTATGAAAAACGAAACTGATAATACGGACAATGACACTGATAAGATATACATGTACACGTACATGAGGGTTTGGATAGGGTTTACATAATAAAGAATAATGGATAAAATAAGGGCGAAACATATAAAGAATAGAGAAAATAGGCCAAATTAATAAAGAATAAAGAATAATGGGGTGCTGAAATATAATGAATTGAGAAAAATGGTCTAAAAAGTTAAAGAATAAAGAAATGTTGGACCCCCTCCCCCATCCAGACCCTCGTACATTGTTAAATTATGTACATATTTGTCAAATGTTCGATAATGCTATCAACGTTTTGTAAATGTTTTGGGTTAATCTCTTACCTTTCGACCTTTAACATGTTTAAGTATAAGAGCTTCGAGATAGTACGAGTTAGCATGAAACTTTCAAATGATAGTTATCTTATGAATTATGGAAAGTTCCTTATTATTATTATCCCCGGACTGATATGTTATTAAGGCACTTGCTTGAAGGACATATTTATGGTCACTTCAAAAAAAAATTCTCAATATCAAATCTGTTCTACATTGAAATAAAAACTTGGCAGAGGTTTTTTTTAAATTGTGAAGTAACGTATTATTTGCAAGATATAAACATGTATGGGGAAAAGGCATGATATGTTATTGCTTTCTTAATTACAAGTTAAAGCTAAATGATTTACCCTCTAAAGATCTCTAAGGAATGTTAACATTAATAAGTTAAGAAGCTTTAAATTGAATGTCTTTAACAAGACTTAAATACATAAATATAGATATGTGTATCATGACACACGTAAGGTCACTATCACATGATTAAATATTTTAGCTGTACACTCATACTTCTATTGTTTATATAAAAGACTTCCTGGTTTGTTTTACACGGTAGGCGTTTCTGTTTTGCTAATAGTTTATAATTGCTAACAAGTGGTATGATTGCCATACACGGTAGGCGTTTCTGTTTTGCTAATAGTTTATAATTGCTAACAAGTGGTATGATTGCCAATGAGACAACTCTCCACTAGAGAACAAAATAACGTAGACGTTAACAACTATAGGTCACCACACGGTCTTCAATAATGAGCAAAACCCATACCGCAAAGTAAGCTATTAGTAGGCCCAGAAATGTCAAAAATGTAAAACAATTCAAACAAGAAAACTGTAACCATGGTAACGGCTTGATTTATATACAAAACAATAAACGAAAAACCAATAAGATATACAGGAACAAACAACAACCACTGATGTACAGCTCCTGACTTGAAACAGGCACATAAAGAATGTGACGGGGTTAAACGTTTGCTGGCGCCAGACCATTCTGTAACAGTACAACATAAGAACAGACTATAAAAATCAGTTAAAAAGTGTTTAACTCATCAGATCGGTACAAAGGACAAAAATACAAAAGACACCAAGTACAGATCTGAGAGTACTTGCAGTTAGTGAAAACTAGATCAATGCCAATAACAACTCAGAAAAAAATCAATTACCTAAGACTAAGACATCAAACATCAAATAGATTTAGTGTAAAGACGTCATTTACTGTCAGAGAAAAACATGACCTTGTGCAATGCTAAAATATCGGCATCAACAGGTTGTAGCTAGGGTCGTAAACGTACATATGTAAGTATACCAATGGTTTATTCCTGCTATTCCAAAATTTTAAAATCTGGTATGTTATTTGTAAGAAATCTATGTAGAATAGGAGGAATGTTGAGTAAATAAGGGATATAATCGGATTAGGTTGTAAAAACATAACACAAGTTAACTTAAGGTAAATAGCCAAAGTGCAATTTAAAAAAATGCTAGTATTAGATAATGTTACAAAATAATAAAACATGTCAAATACATGTTCGTTTGTCATTTAAATTGTCCTATATATATAAACTGTTTTCAATCTTTTTATGAAAACCTTTTGTGTTTATTTCCTTGTGTAACAAAAGGTCTTTAAAATTGAGTGACTACAGTAAATAATCAAAGCACTGACGTACTGTTAACAAGGATGGCCCCCAAATCTGTTGGCTAGCAAATTAATAATACAGAATTCAATCTACCCGAGAATTGCTAGCAGTGGCTAACAGTTGTTTTCTTACGTCTAGCATCAAATATTTGAATACAATTTCCAACGATAAAATATTTAATAAGTTTATCAATTTGGTAAGTTTTGTCGATACAGAGGGCGAGGGTTTAAGTCGAATGGGACAACTGCAAGAGATAAGTGTAAGGCACTGTCTGAACGCCGGATAATGAATTCAATACAGATTCGTAATCCGATCAGCCGTGACTTTGTATAGAATGTCAAACAGACGCCCCCAAGCGAATATGTCTTCATATTCCTATTCCAGCGCGTATTCATAAGAAAATGGATTCGTCACACAGGGATAGGGCCAATTTCCTCCTGAATCTATATCATAATAGCGGCATAATAGCGGCAATATAAAAAAAAATATTTCAAACTTTAAGGTGGTACCAAACACCTTGACTGAAATTAATTTGGCTTGTTTAATTTTCATAAAATTTTGACAAAATATTTACTTTGACCCTTTGACAAAAATATAAAAATTTCAAAAAACTTGAACCACACTTTTTATCGGAATAATTTCATTGGATATATAGGCAGTTTGACAAACACTACTTTTGATCATTGAGAAGCTTAATATTTCCTTAACAATAGAATGACTTTTGTGATTAAAACGTTCAGCTGATTTTTACAGAGTTATCTCCCTGTAGTGTTATGTACCACCTTAAATTCACAGTATCAGAGCTCCCTGAGTGTACTTTTAGGTTCATGCAATAATATAGCTTATTCTACACAGATGATCGAACCTAATTTTTGAAAGCCGGAAGATTGCACAAAAACGCAAGTGTATTAGAATTCGTCAATTTTTTTATTTTTATCCTGAAAATGTAAAAGTGGAACATTCTCATAGAAACTAAACTAAGTTGCCGTTTGCAGTAAAGTTTTGTATACTATTGTACTTCTAATAATATAAATTATTTTATTTTTGGGGATTAACGTCCGTCGAAACAGAATTTTATTACGCATGAAAAATTTATCGGCTTTAACTAGAGCCGTTTAATATTAAACTGTTCGGTAGACATTATATTTATGTTGACTCTTGGAGTGAAACTAACACAGAGGATAATGGCCCTTCGTCTTTCATTAAGCCTCTCAATTAAGAAATAGAGCAGCCCTGTTTGTTGTTGTATGTGTGTACTTAAATAACGTTTTTTTTTGTATAGTTATCAATAATTTTTCTTTGATAAAATGATATAATATGTAAGATGTGTATTGCGTATAGCATACGCTTATACTAATCGTGTACAATCATTAGGGTATAGCTGTCTCCGTGGTTTTATCTAGATATGTCTTTCTATGTTGTGATGTTACACTATTGTTTCAGATATGGTTGAAGGTTTGGTACCATTAAACGTTTAAACCCGCTGCAATTGTTTGCACCTGTCCTAGGTCAGGAATCTGATGTTCAGTAGTTGTCATTTGTTGATGTGGTTCATAAGTGTTTCTCGTTTCTCGTTTTTATATAGATTAGACCGTTGGTTTTCCCGTTTGAATGGTTTTACACTAGTAACTTTTGGGGCCCTTTATAGCTGTGTAAGGCTCCGTGTTGAAGACCGTACTTTGACCTATAATGGTTTACTTTTATCAATTTTGACTTGGATGGAGAGTTGTCTCATTGGCACTCATACCACATCTTCTTATATCTATATAAATATTATATTAAGAACAAAGAATGGTAATCAAAAGTACTGAAATCATTTATTTATTATTATTATTATTAAGATACGGACGCACTTCATTATCACTTAAAATATTAATTGATGAAAATAATATTCATATATTTTATCTATTTTAAAAATTATAATAGCAAGAAGTCAACTTAACAATAATATTTAGTTGGGTTTTAATTTATTGATAACAAAATCCATATTTATACCGATAAAACAAAATATAAGATCTAATTACAATAATTAGCAACTTTTTAGAAAAAGTTAATTTGAAAAATCGTTTACCCGAATCGTATCTCAGTTTATGGGCTCGGTAAACAACATCACCGTAAAAAATAAAACGTGCTATCCCGTTTATAACAAATTTTCTACAGGTGCAGCCAAACTTCCAAACCAAATATCTGTATTTATGAAAGACTTTAGTAAAGGTTTTAAGTAATTTGTTCACTTTTATTTCAGGATATAGTAGAAGGAAATTGTGAAACTTTGCAATCTGTTCAACAAAAAAAAAGATATCAAATTAAAGTAAATGTAGTTTGTTAATATAAATATAAAAAGGTCATAACTCTTTTAAGCTTGATAAAGCCATAGTGATCCTTTCAGTGGCTTAGCATGACCCTTTTTCAAGTGATACTACGATTTAGAGCTTGGGAGTCAATGCCTCCGTGCGAAATCAAACTTCGCAATGAGGCTTATGAGAAGATTGTTCAAGGCGAAACCGGCGTCGTGAAGGAGCTATCAGATGCAAAAAGTCGATTGATATACAATATATAGAAATAAGAAGATGTGGTATGACTGCCAATGAGACAACTTTCCACAAGAGACCAAATGACACAGAGATTAGCAACCAAAGGTCACCGTACGGCCTTTAACAATGAACAAAGCACTTACTGCATAGTCAGCTATAAAAGGCCCCGAAATGACAAATGAAAAAAAACAATTCAAACGAGAAAACTAACGGCCTAATTTATGTACAAAATAATGAACGAAAAACAAATATGTTACACAGCAACAAACGAAAACCACTGAATTACAGGCTCCGGACTTGGGACAGGCACATACAGAATGTGGCGGGGTTAAACTAGTTAGATGGCACCAAACCCCGCCCTTAACCTGGGAAAGTGGTGCAACAGCACAACACAAGAACACACTATACAAAACAATAAACGAAAAACAAATATAATATACAGCAACAAACAACAACCACCATTCAATTACAGGCTCCTGACTTGGGACAGGCATATATAGAATGTGGCGGGGTTAAAAAAGTTTGAAGGCGCCAACCCTCCCCTAACCTGGGACAGTGGTGTAACAGTACAACATAAGAACAAACTATCAGTTATAAAAAAGCCTTAACTCATCAGATGGATACAAATAGAAATACATCTAACAAAAAAACATCTAATGGACGTTGCAGGGTACTTATACATCCCCAGAACAAAAAGATACTAAGTACAGATCTAAGAATACTCCCAGTTACTGACAGCTAGTTCAAAGCCAATAACAACTAATTAAAACAATCATGCATCTAAGACTAAAATACAAGTTTGATTGATTGATTAATTTCTTGTTTTGTGGTTAACTTCTAGGGCAAATATTTTATCAGCATCGGCATGAGTATCGAATGCAACCTGAAAAAGTTGCAAGTGTTTTGTAAATTATCACTCTCCCTGCACAAGGCATTGGCTTTAACGTCCTCATTCTGACTGTACGTGAATGAGTACATTCCTCTAACAGCCAAAACGGACGCCCCTCTGAAGAATGGGTTTTACAGCCAAATGGGAAGTGAACGTACGAGGATTAGGACAGATATTGCCCTGCAGCAGATCAACGTACAAATCCCCCCAAAAAATTGTTTCAATGTTGTTTGTTTAACAGGCAGATAGCGTGTCTCTCATCCTACCCATGATATCAGATATAAATACCAAATATTATCAGATGAGTCTGGGTATAGTTTATGTATTTCCCGCATAGCCTGGGTTTAACGGCTGTGAAAGTCCGGGTGACCATTTCCGGATTAAATAGGATAAAGGATAAAACAGTTCCTGCTCATATAACCGTTTTTGATTCTATATTTCTATACCATAGTTTTTAAGCATGATAAAAATAAATCAACTAAATTAGATAGTCCCGTAGCCAGTACATCGTTATTTACATACAAAATACGTATATTATTTTATTAAAATTTTCTGTTATACTTTTTTGGAAATTATTTTAAATCAATGAATGGTTCTCCCTCTTGCATATCTCTGGTTTGTTGTCCGGATTTGGCTTTTTTTTTTATCATGTTGGTTTCATCAGCTCTTTAACTTTAGTGTATGTAAGAATTTGGTTTATTTTGGCCTAGAGCATTGCTGAAGGGTATTAAAATGTCGAAATGAACGTCTGCAGTTACCGGTAATGTTATATTCATAATCAAGAAAGACTGCTTTCTTTTCAGTCGTATAAAATTGATAATTTACCATCGGGGTTTTCAATCATTTACACAAATTTCAACTATTTTCTATTGGAATCATGATTTTTATCTTTAAATTATAAGTGTTGTTTTTCTTCTCTTTCTCTTTTTCTTTTTTCCTTCTTTTTTAGCGTTTATGTGCGGGGCTTTTGGTTTGTTCAACAATTAATTATTATGTAGATAAGGATATTCATTCCTCTTTTATAAACCAACAAGCCTTTTAAAAGACTGTTCTAGATTGATAGTATTTAAATAACAAAACTTTGTTACAAGGTTAATGTCCATGTTTTTGAGATATAAGCAATTGAAAATTTGGCGGGACATGATTTTCTCTTGATTTTTCATACATTTAACATTGACACCTTTTTTCTTTAAAAAACTATGAAAAAATAACAAGGATATTATAAGATTTTTAAAAATGGTTTTTTAAACTATACGTAATACAATTATGAAAAGAAAAGCAGGGGTTCGCGGGCAAAATTTTGAATGACTCTACATGGATAAAACTAGAGGATTTCGAATATCTGACAAAAGTAAAAAAACAAGAGTGGCGAACATCCTTAATCATAGAATTTCCGTTTAGTTTTAGAGATACGGTAGCTTTATTTTGTGACGCCAAGACGTCACTGCTAACAACGTTAGTAACAACAATTTACTTTGCTCGAAACTTCCGTTGTGTTGTTGCTTTGAACACAGTACTAATTTCTATTTTAGATGGACGATTCCGATATCCAGTGTACATTATGTTCAAAGAGAAACATTTCAAATGCTGCAGTCATATGGTGTGCCGTATGCGACGAAAGACTATGTCAGTCTTGTAATGAAATCCACAAATATTTAAAGATCAGCAGCAGCCACGAAGTCACAGCACTAGATGTGTATAAAAAATTACCGACATTTATTTCTTCATTGAAGCAGACATGTGACAGTCACGAGGAACATTTCAAATTGTACTGTCCTGCTCACAGGGAACCCTGTTGCTACAAGTGTACAACAACAAAACACAAAACATGCCATGGATTCCAAACACTTGATAGTCTAATCGAACAATCCCAAACACAGTTTCTAGATTTAGAATGTACGATTGACGAACTAAACATAAACATTGAAACAGTATTTAACAATCGGAAAGAAGCATTAATTGAATTAGATGATCAAGTTTTGAATTTAGCGATGAACATTAAGAAGACAGGAGAGAAAATAAGAGAAAAACTTGACAGCAACGAAAAAGATATCCTACAACAATTGTCGGTTGTTCATTCAAAGTACAAGGCTATATTTGAAAATGCCGTCGAGGAACTTCAGACGATGAAGGCTGAAATAAAATCATTACAGAAAAATATTGAAGAAATGAGAGAATTCGCTTCAGAATATCAATTTGTTCTTGGATCTCAAGAAATCCGTTCAAAACTAAAAAATGAGAAGGACAGTTTCTGCAAATATTTTGAAAATGACAATAAATTAAGGCAGAAAAATGTGGCTTTTAAGTTTACGCCGGGGCAGATATTAAATCAAGACATATTTCTAGGAACGATGGTTGTTGAAGAGGTAGACTGTGAAATTCCCTTTAAGAAAAATGCGAGTTTGGAAGCTGCATTTCCTCTTGACATTTTTCAAAACATTGAATCGGTTAAGATGCGAACAAGTTCACAATCTAAAATACAAGCCGGTAACGTGACTAGAAATCTAGCAGGTTGCACATTTTTAGAAAATGACCAAATGCTGTTATCTGACTGGAGTGAGAACAATGAGCTCTTAATTTTAGATGAAAAAGGGGAACACTTGAGGAATATTGTTCTGGATAAAAAGGCCTTTGATGTAGTTTATGTGGGCAATGGTTGTGTTGCAATGACATTACCAGACGCAAAACAAGTTTCTATTTTGGATTTGAAATCTAATCAAGAGAAAATTCATGTAACATTTGAAAACCGATGTTGGGGTATCACCTATTCCGAAAATACATTATTCGTTCGAGAATATTCCGTAGGAATTCATTGTCTAGATTTAAACGGGACTATCAGAGAAACAATGCCCGTGCATGGTTATATCACTCATATTACTAGTCTAGGTAGAAAACTGTATTACACGGAGCATACGCCTGATGTTGTGCATTGTTGCGATTTAAATGGAACAGAAATATGGCATTTAGCGTTGGACGGTCGTGGAGCACCAAAAGGAATTGCAGTCGGAAAATTTGGTTTCGTATTCGTTGTATTAGAAAACGAAAGAAAACTTTTAGTTATATCACCAGATGGAAAAAATTATAGGGAACTATTAAATGAAGAAAACGGCCTACAAGAACCACATGCAATCGTCTATGACATGAACAGAAATAAGCTTCTCTTAGTGAAAGACAAAACTGGGGTAACCGAATTATATGATGTATTGTATTGATTGTATATGTTTTTACAAGAAAGTACATATTTTCAGGTGACTTTCCTGTTAACATTTTCAATTATTTATAATCGCCCCAAAAAGTTTACCAAAGAGAGGCAAAAGATACAAAAGAGATATTCGTCATAAAGTCATAAGTCGAAATCAAACTGACAATGCCATGGCAAAAAACGAAAAACGACGAATAGACAAACAACAGTACACAAAACACAACATAGAAAACTAAAGACTGAGCAACACGAACCCTTACAAAACCACGGGTGATATCAGGTAGTCAGGAAGGGTAAGCAGATCCTGCTCCAAATTTCGAAAAAAAAGAAACAAACCAATGATCAAATAAGTTCTTGCTCATATTTTACAGTAATTATCGAGGATGCGGTCCCCACGGAGACGATCCCATATTATGCATGGTGATATATCATGATTTATTGTATGATATTAATAACCCCATAACAGAGCTCTATATGTGGCCATTCATTGACCCATTGTGGCCATCTATTGGCCGGGTGAGATCAAGTAAACATTCGTACGTTACGCACACTTTTTACGTTGTATTTACAAAGGGCATTAAAATCGTCTAAGGTTTCTCAATGCCAAAAAACAAACACAAAAATCCAATGGTTTGACGCAATTACAGCATGTCCGGGACCTCTCAATGGAGATATACGTTATAACTATAAACATATTTAGTTTCTGAACAATAAAATATGTTTAAACTAACTATAAAAATAAGGAGAAATGAATATAAACATATTTCATTCAGAAAATAACAGTGTTTTGCAATAAATTTTGCAGGATTTATTTTTTAAAGTATGATTTTTATAATCGTATCAAAATGTTTCTTTTGACAGAATTAAAAATGTTCAGAGGCAAACCATCAAAATAATGGAGAAAAAAATACGTTGTATTTTGTTCTATGCAAATTATAAAACTTAAGTTCTGTGGCTAATTAAAAAAATACGAGAAAAATGTTTAATAATATACGAACAGTCTAGAGAAACATATTGCTAGTACCTGGGAATAGTAAACTAACATATACTTTCCCAGCTAGTACGATCAATTTTCATCTTTGTATTTTTTTTTTATTTTTGTGAAAAGTAACCCGGACGTAGTAACATATGACTTTGCATTCTTTTCCCGTTTTAAACGTTTTCATGCTGATATTTTCATTTTTAATATTTTTGGGGCTTTTGGACCGACACATCGATAGCAAACACACCAAATAGGAAATACGAAATAACAAATAGCAAATTAAGTGAAAGAATATATTAGAAAACAAACAGAAAAAGAAGATATCGCCCCGAGGTAATCAGTGAAAGGACTACCGCGTACAGTAAAAATCATTCAGTCCTGAACTAGATAATTATTTGCACAAAAAATAAAGTCTTATCGAAGACTACAACGATCAGATTTCCTAGAACATTCAGATGTCATGCTAACAAAATTTAACTCCTGGAATCATATGAATCCGGTCGTTTGGGTGCAAAATTTACGTTGATGTGCTTCTGTAATCGTAATTAGGTCTTTCCACTTTTCTGTGGAAAGACCTATTGTATTTGTTCTGATTATTATTATTATTAGGTCTTTCCACTTTTCTGTGGAAAGACCTATTGTATTTGTTCTGATTATTATTATTTTCTTCCGCCAAATTTTGTTCTCGCGTAAAATTTTTGTTTCGCAAGATGTCGCTTAGATATTTCTTATATAGTATCACACAGTTAATGCGCTTTTTATTTTCACCCATTCTAAGCCGAACAATTTTCTTTGTAGGAGTTATCTCCCCGAACACTGTTTTACTTGTGACTGCATCTCCTCCGTAACCGTAAAAGAAAGCGACAAATTTATTTTATCAAATTGCTCGCTATATCCTCAGGATTTTTTGTCCAATTTTGACGGAAGCGATACGAAGACTCCATATGAGAGTTATTTCCCCTAATGCATTTGAAATAAGTGATATGCATTTGTAACTGGTAAACCATAAGTGATAGAGACCTAGGGTCTGTTGATTTGAGGTCCTTGGTCCTAAAGAATAGAAAACTAGGTCAAGGTCAAAGGTCAAGGTCATGTTGTGATTTTTTACATTAAGTTCATATCGCTTCTTCCTAGAAAGAGTTATAGATATCGACAAAACAATTTAACCAAAAAGTTTGTCGCGACACGTGTTTACTAGAATTTTTTTGTCGAAATGGTACGCGTCATATTATTGCAGTGTCAAAGTCCCTGTTATTTTCGAATCAACAAATTACTTATTAAAACTTCAAACTTTACAGCTATCATGTTGTAAATGTTTCTTATCTCAATTATCAACCACAGTCTACCACTACACTCCCCCCCTTTTTTTTTCAACTGATTTTTTTTTAAGTTATCCCATTTCTATGAAAAGAAACCCGCTTTTAGTCTCGTACCTTATACTGTAAAATGCTAATCCTTCTTATGTTCAAACTTCTCTCTGAAATAGAAATCCATCCCTGCAAAAATCTGCTCCAATTCATGTATTTTCTGAAATCAATCGATGAGACACGTGCGGTCCGCTTGATTGCGAAATTAAAATCAATGTCGTAGAAATCCCTCCCAAGTTCGTAAATATTACTGAAATCCTACAATCAAATTTCTAAACATGCATTAAAATACAAATCTGTGCTCCCGTAAACAGGTGTGCGTAATATGTATGCATGATCAGACATCAATGACCTGTACAAAATAAAAACAATAGTTGGTCGTGTTTCTCTGATCAATACACATGTGCTCTGTTCAACGGTCTCCCCTGAAAAGAAATTAATATTCTAACTCCAGACTCCAGACATATATATTCGAGGGTCACGTGACTTCACAACACCATCTCGCGCGCGGACCTAAATTTAGAATAGAAAATTCCATATCCAAATAAAGAAAATGGAACTTCCACGACAAAATGTTTCTCAGTTTTCCTACAAGCTCAAATAAAATGCACACACAACAAATAAAAAAAAAACCAACATGAAGTCAGAGTTCCCGTAGAAAAAAGAGAACATTTATAAAATGAAGATATAAGGATTTTTATTTATAAGGAAATCCTGGCTGTCCGTTTGGCTGTCCGGGATGTACAAATACGCAGCCACGTTCGCTCAGAATATTAACGTTAAGTCCGATGCCTCGCATAGAGAGAGTGCCATGCAAACTTTCAATCAATCAATCAATCAATCAATCAATCAATCAATCAATCAGTAAATCAACTAATCAATCAATCAATCAATCAATCAATCTACCTACCAACCAACCAATCAAACAATCTGTTTAATACGGGGCCCAAGATCTCATTTGTTTCTTTTTCGCTTGTTCCAAGAGACCCTATCCCATGTGTTTAATTACTATATCAGCCAACCAACCAACCAACCAATCAAATAATTAATTAATCAATCAATCAATCATGTTTCGGAGAGGAAAGACCGTTAACAATTGTTTTTAAAACAATTGATTTATATTTTGTAATGAGTTTCGTATTAGAAATACATAATGTATTATTGAAAGTAAGTAACTAAGGTTTTGATTGATGTAGAACATTAATCAAGGGGATGCCTGGTATATTTAAATAAGATAGCATCCACTCTACGGCAAAAACCAAAAGACATCAAATCATAATTCCATGACAAAAAAAACTACACCAAAAAACTGTAAAAAATTGAATCGTTGGTTTGAAGGTATAATCGGATAGATCACAAAAATCGACTCGAATATACATGTTTTCGGTTACCTTATCAGTGTTTCAGTTCATAATATAGACACACGTGATAATTATTTTTAGGTTATTATGTCATTATAAACCTGTGCCTTTTTTAGTGTGACTATGCATATTTTTTTTAGGTAAATACAATGTTTAAAGCCAGACATGAAGTATTCAAATGCAGGAGACGATGTTAATTTAGAGATAACTGTATTGTATTTGAAGCTTTGTCCATCGGTAGTTTTACTGTCGCAAATTTAGTTTACCTGGCGACGCAAATTTTAAAATTTGTTTTCCTCAGAATGTATGTGCTTTCTATGCAAATCTTCACCTATCAAGCTAAAGTTGTATGAACGGAGTGAAAATATTTTCACATTTTTGCAATTTCAGTTGCCGGATACTGGCTCTTACATTACAATGTCTTTCATCAAGACGTACAGTGGCCGGTAGTAGAATGTAAACAGACATAATTTCATTAATCTGTAGTTTAAAAGTTAGATCTTTTAGTCCGGGAAACATCATTCATTCATCAGTTGCAACTGGCTTTGAACTAGCTGTCTGTAACTGCGAGTACACTTAGATCGTTACTTTTTGTATAATGTCTTTTATATAAATTAGACAGTTGGTTTTCCTGTTTTAATGGTTTTACACTAGTCATTTTTGGGGCCCTTTATAGCTTGCTGTTCGGTGTGAGCCAAGGCTCCGTGTTGAAGGCCGTACTTTGACCTATAATGGTTTACTTTTATAAATTTTGACTTGGATGGAGAGTTGTCTCATTGGCACTGATACCACATCTTCTTATATCTATTTTGTTATTGTTTTGTGGTTTTGTCGATCTAATGAGTCAAGTCATGTTTAACTGATTTTTACAAACTTTTCTATACTTGGTGCAAATTCGGGCGCTTGTACATTTTGCAGTTCGAATGGCGACCTCGAGGTTCCTATTTTACAAATTGAAAATAACCCTTTATAGATTTGGTGCTTCCGAAGTTATTTTGGATTTATTTTCAGTTAAGAACGCTCAAACTCCAACAATTAAAAGCTAAGAATGTATATGTACCTGAATGCGATAGGAACTATATATGATCGGACCTAAGGGAGCTGCCATTTGATTTTTATGGGGTGGGGGTGGGGGGGGGGGGGGGGGGGGGGGGGGGGACTAGGATGAAAAATTTTGACCTGCATTTTTTTTAGTTGTAATCTCTGTCCTGCCTTTTTATTTTTCACTCTATTCGGTCCTGCCTTTTTTTTTTTGTAGTTTATCCTGACTTTTTTTTCACATAAATTGTCATCCTGCCTTTATTTTTTTGCAAAGCGTCTCATCCTGCCTTTTTTATTTCTCAAAACTCCTGTCCTGCCTATTTTTTTCAAATTTCATCCTATCCCCCCCCCCCCCCCCCCCCCCCCCCCCTAAAAATCAAATGGTAGCTCCCTGAAAATAATACAAAATCAATAATAGGCAGGTGGCTAGAGAGGGGATTTTTAGTCGAAAAGTCTAAAAAGCCAAAACAGTCGTAGTTATTCTTTACAGTTTCCTGCAACTTTACATGAGTTAAAATGATCAAGGATTTAACATTCCGTCTTGCGAGAAAAAAATGGCATTACAATTATTATCACTTTCATTCCTACAGCAATAAAGCGTTTAACACTTAGTATTAACACCATTCACTGTTTAAAGATGAAATTGTAAAATGTTGATCCGTATAATCAATTTTATTTCATAACTGATATATTTCGACATATTCAAAATAATGTTATATGTTATAAACAATAATTTGTATTTTCGTAAGCGTGATGTTTATTGTAAATATCTCACACCATGTTTCTTTATTCAATATTTCTTACGAATCACTACCAATGCTCACAAAGTCGCTTTCAGTAAGGAAACTTGTGTTGATATTTGCATAAGTACAGGTAACTGAATTTGCAAATTGCACCATTCGAGATTCTTTCCACCACGCGTCTGTTTTCACGTTATATGAATACAAATCTTTGCTTTCTACTGTTCTTGTAGGTTTATTTCTTCGAATAAACTGACGTATTCCACCACACACATATATTTTGTTGCCAATTGAAGTAACGGCCGTTACCTTTCTTTCATCCGGAAAATCAGTGCCGTGTCGCCATCGATTTGTGTTGACATCGAATATCTGAATGACAACTGCATACGAGCTTCTGGTGACGCCACCTACCAGATAGATCTCGTTATTTATTGTAATAGCAGAATGCTCGTATCTTGGGTTTACCAACTTAGTGTCAATAATATACCATGTCTCAGTTTTTATATCGTATCGCATAACCATATCAGACATTTCATCTAATACGTCTTTTCCACCGAAGATGTAAACACCGCCATCAGCAACTGTAGAAGCGTGATGGTAAAGCTTAAGTGGCATTGGCTGAAGTAATTTCCAATAGCCTATATCAACATCGTACATTTCAAAAGAATCTAGAGGACTCCCAGTTGGATAAACTGTTTTCCCACCAGAAACAAATAAACAGTTTTCATGGCAGCATGCGGAGAATGCACATCTTGCTGTTACCAAATTGTCGCACGCTGTCCATACTGACAATCTTTGGTCATATTTATATACATTTCGCATTGCTTCGCCTGATTCGGAAAATCTGTAGTTGTCATGAAAAATACCACCTATGAAGTATACGTCGTTTTCTTGCACAGTTACGATTTTGAAATAGTCAATTCTATATTTCAAATCAAACGTTGGATGATGCTTAAGACCGAAGTAATTCTTTCCTGTTTCCGGGTCATATGCTGTACAGGACCGCTCATGCTCTCCGTTTGAGCCTCCAGAAAACACAATTAAATCTCTACACAACATTCCCGATCTTTTTGTAGTTATATGTGTACCAATAAGCTCATTTTGTATTTGTGACGTTGATGAAGTATTGTAAGCTGAATGTAGAAATTCATCAATAATACTAAGACAGAAAGGATTTCCTTTGACTAATTCGTTGTTTATAATGCTATCATTCAAAAATTGTTCGGTAATAAGAGGAAGCCTCACCAAATGAAATAACCTTGGAAAAATAGATTTTCTAGAGCCTATATCAAATTTCACCCAGTTGCATATTACTGTAAAAATAAAATCCTCCGTTTTTACGTAAATATCGTCTGATTGTAAAATTTCCTCAAAGGATTTTGAGTCAATTTCAAGAAAATGGTCAGTAGTTGATATTTCAGTAAAATGTTGCAGAATAAAATTTTTGCAAGCATCCTGTAGCTTTTTACAATGATGATAGAGGGCAAAACTATACATTCCCACGCAATTAGAACAGTGAAGTTGTCCATTCATGTACTCCACACAACAATCAACAACATCCAATAACTCAAACATATTTGAAGCCATGAAAATGTCCTGCGCATTGTCCGGACCTATGTCAATAACACCAGAGTACATAAAGTTCAAAATACACTCCACTGCTTCAGCGGTGACATCGTACAATGCAATATTTTCTTGTGTTGTCTCTTGTACGTTACTCGTAAACATAGCCCTGAAAGAAGAAGCAACCAGTGAATCACAAACGCATATTTCACACAACACCAATGATATATTTTTAGAGAAAAGAGTGGTTAAGAATAAAATAACTAGAGGCCCTAAAGAGCCCCATGTCGCTCACCTAGATCTATGTGTATTTTCAACAATTGCTACTTTCCAACATTGAAGATTAGAATATGTTTCATGACCAAGATTTATTTTTTGTTGATCTTGTAATTCTGATTTTTTTCTATTCTTCAGTTTCTGTCTATCTTCTATAGTTTTTGCCCCAAATACAATAATAGGTAAACAATCGTCTTTCAAGGGCAATAACTTTTATAAGAAGAGGACTTAAATTTCGGCTTTATTGTCCTATTTGGAGATCTTGTCTTATTGACCTTACAGTATAAATCTCTTTACCTTCTATAGATTTTTTCCAACATATTAAAAAGGGAAAACAATCATCATTTAAGGGCAAAAACTCCTATAAGCAGTCGACTGACAAGTTCTGCCACGTTATATTTGCAGGTCTTGTCTTGCTAATAATTTAAGTTGTTAACAATTTTTCTTTATCTACTACAATTTTTGCCCAATATGCAAAACATGGGTAAAATCATCTTTAAAAGGCAATAATTCCTATAAGGAGACAACCATCGATTTCTGCCAACTTGAAAATTTGTAGATCTTGTCATGTTGATCTGTTTTGCTTTAAACAGTTTTATTTATCTACTGCATTTTTTTGGCCAATATTTTTGGGGAAAATCGTTATTGAGGTGACACAAACTCCTATAAGGAGTCGACAGCCAATATCGACCATGTTGCCAAAATTATAGATCGTGTCCTGCTGATCATTTTGCTATTTAAGCTTCTCTTTTTATATGAAAGTGTCCAAGCTAATAAGCAAAAAACGCAAAAAAATGGTAAAAATCGTCATTTCAGGACAATTACTTTTAAATGGAGTCTTGACAGTGTTAGCGTAAATAGATAGTAGGTAGATGCCACCGTCTAAAAATTGCCGCCCAGTCATAGTCTCTTTATATATTGCAGTTTTCAAGATTATAGACAAAACTTGCATTTTATTCCCTATGTTCTATTTATAGCCATGTTAGTTGGTAGGCGGGATCACCGCAGTAGTTTCAGAGAAGAAGATTTATGTAAAGTTAACGAACGACAGACGACGACGGAAGCAAAGTGACGAGAATAGCTCACTTGACACTATTGGAATAAATCGCAAATCGCTTTTTTATAGTTTGAAGCTAGACTTTAATGCATATTTTATTTTTCTGACTTGAACTTCTGTTCAAATTATATACTGAACCGTTCATTTCACAAGATTCCGACTCCTTGTTCTTTTTATGACGTTGCTTTATGGAACTCTGTATGAATTAAAGCCAACGATATATGAGTGTTGGACTAAATGGTTTCATATCAGTATGCAAACTACTTTAAGCCTAAAGGGTTTGTTGATTGTGCTGTGTGGACGCATTAGAATGTTTCCACATGCCTGTCGTGTATACGCTTTTATCTTACCTCCTATACACTTCTAGGAATATCATTGGTTAAAAGCGAACACTTGGCGACCGTGTATATTTAATATTTGGTCAGTGGGCGTGTTTGATTTTGATACACGGTTAGTAGCAGTATTACGTACTCTTACAAAAACAACATGGCTTTGAAGTAAAATTTGAAACATTTCGCCCAGACAATAGATGAAGAAATTGGTGATAAACGATTGAAAGTAAATGCAGAAAACACATTAAAATCTAACAAATTGTTATTGCTGGCTTTTTTTTTGTGTGTAGACCAATGGAAGTATGTTCTTAATATAATGAAGACTTGAACACTAGTTTAAATTCCACAAATTAATGTAGTCAGTAAGACAAATTCGTTACACAGTGTGTTAGTGATATAATACGATATATACGGGGTTAGTAAATTCCATATGGGGCGAGAGAGCGAGCGGAATTTACTGACCCCGTATAAATCGTATTGGGTCACTAGCACACTGTGTAATTAATGATATCTTGCAGTTAGGGTTTTTTCTTGTATTTAGATTGCTATACGTCATGGATTTTGTGCTCATTGTTGAAGGTCGTACGGTAATCTGTAGTTGCCAACTTCTACGTCATTTGGTCTCTGATAGAGAATTGTCTATTTGCAATCATACCACATCTTTTTTTTATATATTTTCAGTTGCTTTCAACTTTTTCTTTTTCGATGAATATTTCAGTTACTGCGAACAACCTTTGATGCGTGATTTTGTTATTATTGCTTGGTTTCTACATTGTGTTTTATAACTATTACACCTCTATTTTAAAGTTAAGTGCTTTTTCTACTGATTTGTATTGTACCGTTCTTTAGTCATCTGATCGATATTAAAAGGGGGCGAGTTGAGTTCTAAAAGAGCTATTTTAACCCCGGTACATGTTTATATGTCTGTACCAATTTCAGGAACTTCATGCTACTTGTTACTTGGTATTGTTGGCAGATTTTTGATAGTATATCTGTATCATTTATTCACAATTTTTTATACTGACATATATAAAGATATGTTTGGTTGTTTATGTCGTTGTGTTCCTATCTCCTTGTACATGTAGTGTACGCTAAGTCTCCATTAATTTATATAAATCAGATCCCAACATTTTTGTTGTGAGAACCACGGGCAGATATACATCAGATCAGCTATTACCTTTTACGAACAGACAGTAATAATTTAAAAAAAGCAGAGCATTTTCAAGTCTTTGTTATTATGAATAATTAAAAGAAATATTTCAATTGTTATTCTCTTTCGATGACAATGGGAATATTCACCGATCTTTGACTACCTTTGGTGAGTCTTGTACGGTCGGTAGTCTGCGTCCATATTCCGAAACAAGGGTAACGTCGTCTTTGCTACGCTACATTGACAGTTTAGCAAAGCAAAATGGTGTCTAACCATCAATGTGTATAGTTTCATTGTCAATGAACAAAATGCAAATGATAGTAGATATGGCTGACTGGACTGGTCCATTAAACTTATAATGATAAATATATACCGAAAGTAAGGACTGCTAGCTGCCAACACATTTCTGTTGCATGGAAATGTTCGATTATCTACAATAAGCATGACGTCAGTAAGTGTCCGGTCTTGATAAAGCTGCAATAATCCTTTCAGTAGACTTTCTTGGTGGTCTCGTTTTCTTTCTAATTTAGACTTCGCCATATTCCATAAACTGTCATAATACAGAACAATAGCACAAGATCAATTGCAAAATATAGAATTTCGAACACTGGACAAATCAACATGCTTAAATCCTATTTACCTAAATTTTCTAGAAATTCCAGATCAGCACTGATTTGCTGATTTCGTGTTGAGGTGGTATTGAAAATTTAAATTCACAACAATTGAACAAGCAGTTTATCAAAATGGTGGTTTCATCAAGATACATTTTATAAAGAAATACAAAATCAAATTTTGCTTGGAAACGTATGTTACAATCTAAATAAATAAGATAGGTCTTATACATCAAAACTCGAATGCTCATTTTTTTTGATAACCCAGACCATTTAACAAATTTTAAATCTTAAAATAGTGAACATGATAGGATTAAAATATAAAATCACAATCATGTTCACAGTTTCGAGTTTTAAGTTTGTTTTCTTTAAAACAAAAGAAATTGACAAATAATAACTGAGATGCCTCTTAAAATGCGGAGATTGTAATAATTATTTTCATTGTAGTTTTTGTAAAAAGCTTGTATGTGAAATGTCATATATATTTTATATACTTCTAGGCCATTAGAAACAATTGATTTTTTCCAATTTTCCATAAATCAAATCAAATTAAATCAAGAAAGTCCGTTAAAAAATTGTAAAGGTTCCACGGAACTCTGTGTCTCGCCTGCGATTGTTGCTGTCAGTGTAAAAAAGTAAAGTTGACTGCAAAAAAGACCAAGTCCGTTGTAAGTAATGGAATGGAATGTAGGATCGCTATGTCGCAGGCTGAACAATAAACCAAGGTTCAATAATAACTTGCATATTTGTTTCATTCCAAGTTGAAGTGCACATCATTTTTATTTCAGTAACACTGGATTCCTAAGTCTTCAAACTTGGACTTATACATGACGATTGGTCCTAGCTTCATTTGAGAGATTTTGAATGACAAACCAATACCAGAGTTACAATATTATTAAAATCCTTTGCAATACGAAGTAAAAGTAAAATAATAAAAAAAAACGAACTCCAAGGAAAATTCAAAACGGCAAGTCCCTTATCAAATAGCAAAATCAAAAGCTCAAACACATCAAACGAATGGAAAACAACTGTCATATTCCTGACTTGGTACAGACATTTCCTATGGTTTTATAGCTAGCTAAATCTCTCACTTGTATGACAGTCGCATACAATTCCTCTACATTGACAACAATGTGTGAGCAAAACAAATAAACATAATAGGTAAAAATGTCAAAAATTGGGATAAGAAAAAGAGCTTTAGACATACTAGATTTATAAATTGTTATTTTCATGTTCTAGCTTTGGGTCGATACCTTGCATACTTCTCTTAAACCCTCCGTTGATAAATTTAGAACTTATTAGGTTCCTTCTCCCTCAGGCAAAGTTTACCTTATTGGTATTTGGATATTCTTTTATGACGTTTTGTTCGTTTAGCTCATAGTGTATTCCAATACTTATACATCCTTGGCTTTCAAATATTTTGGGTTTAAACCTGCCTGATAGAGGTTAATCCAGAAAAGTACTTCGGACGCACGAAATTGATAACGTGTTGTTTTTAATTTTTCCAGCACTTGGTCGACACAGCTGCTTGCGGATTGCTAATCCCCGAGAGTTTCGTCATCTCAGTATTCAGTATTTCGGTACTGTCATGATTTATAATAATATACTGTTCGTAAATTATCCGTTGATAAATTTAGAAATTGTTTAGAAACTAAGTTCAAACTTTCTCAGGCAAAGTTGAAAAAAGAGGGACGAAAGATACCAGAGGGACAGTCTAACTCATAGATCGAAAACAAACTGACAACGCCATGGCCAAAAATAAAAAGACAAACAGACAAATAATAGTACAGATGACACAACATAGAAAACCAAAGACTAAGCAACACGAACCCCACCAAAAACTGGGGGTGATCTCAGGTGCTCCGGAAGGGTAAGCAGATCCTGCTCCACATGTGGCACCTTGCAGGGATTTTGCTTTTCTTTTTTTGACCCTTTTGGTTGTTTACCTCCTGACGTATTCAATAACTTTTACATTCTTCCCTTTCAAAATTTTAGGGATTGAACATACCTATTGATGGGTAAATCCAGAAAAGCGTTTCGGAGGCAACAAGTTATCACGTTTGTTTGGGGGGGGGAGCATGTATTTTTTTTCTCACTGGACAAACATAACTTTTACAACTTAATCAAAAACAAATTATTATTTTTAATAGCATACAGAGACCAATCAAAATAGTCTGGTAGATTATTGAAATAAGTTTGGCATGAAAGAGGAGGAGTCTCAAATCAAATTCCGTCTTTTTTTAATTGTTATTTTTTTTTTCTATTATTAATGACAGATATCATGTCATTTCAAACTTAATTTCAACCTTTAGAATGTCAGTTTGTTTTCGACTTATGAGTTTGAATGTTCCTTTGGTATCTTTCGCCTCTCTTTTATGTCTTCATTGTCTGAATGCTATTATGAATTGACTATTTATTATCCTGTAAACGTGGAAATTTGTTTCTTCGGGTTGAAAATATACTGTCTTGTCGTTTCTGGTCAAAACATACTAAAAGGAAAAGCGAAGTGAGTTGAAAAATCATGTGTGTTTTACCCGTAAAACCAGAATCTACCCGAATGAAACAACTTTATCCTCATTACTCGATTAGACATAAACCTTTTTTTTTAAATACCAAACAGCTGTAACAAGGAGCCTCTAGCCTTTGTTAGTCTTGTATTATTTTTAATTTTAGTTTCTTGTGTACAATTTGGAGTTTAGTATGGCGTTCATTATCACTGAACTAGTATATATATTTGTTTAGGGGCCAGCTGAAGGACGCCTCCGGGTGCGGGAATTTCTCGCTGCATTGAAGACCTGTTGGTGACCTGCTGTTGTCTGTTCTATGGTCGGGTTGTTGTCTCTTTGACACATTCCCCATTTCCATTCTCAATTTTAAAGAAATATAAATACAGAATAAACATATAATCAAACTTAACATGGTGCGCTGAACTTCTTGGATCGTTAGAAAGGCAATTCGTATATTAAAATATACTTTTCACTTTTTGGTCTTTTGGAAAATGTTGTTTGTGCTGTATTTAGACCCCTCTACCAAGAAATTTGTTTTACATGCACACGTATAAAAATTGCGGTTTTTATTTAACGCAATCATAGGTTTGAACGTTGTTTTCAATTAAGACTTGTTTATATATATATATATGTATATATATATAAGTACGTCTGAACAAGTGACAACTCTACAACAGATTTATCCATCGGATCACCAGCAGTGATGGTGATACATGGCTGTGTACATTCTGTATATACAACTCGTCTAAACATCAGCCCAACAATGTTAGATCTGTAAATTTGCTTTCGCAAATTTTTAGTTTTTCCCGCGAAAGCAAATTAACAGATCTAACATTGTTGGGCTGATGTTTAGACGAGTTGTATATATGTATATATATATATATATGACATAAAGGGAAAAAAGTAGTATTACATTTTCCAGGCTTTAGGTTGGATTTTCATGTACCCAAGGCAGGTGAAGGAAGTCAAACTAGGAGCGCTGTGATTGGATGTAAGGGTACACTTTATTGTTTTATTTTATACAAATATATCATGCTTACAAGGGGTATTTGCCAAAAATACCGGTTGAGAGGTACACATTTCCAGAGCCGTTAGGCGAGGGAAATTTGTTTACCTCGAAACCGGTATTTTTGGCAAATACCCCTTGTCAGCATGACATAATTGTTTAATTCCACCGAATGTCCTTTGTATTCATCTTGACCATAGAATTGACCTCAAAACCGGTATTTCTGAAAAATACCCCTTGTAAGCATCATATAATTGTTTAATTCCACCAAATGCTCTTTGTATCCATCTTGACCTCCGAATTTTTATTGTTATCAGGTTCTGCTTGACTGTTTAATTTTTGTTACTTGTATATGTATAAATGGTAATCAGTCGTAACGTGTTTCTCACTGTCCAATAATCTTGTTTTTAAACTAAACTGTAAATAGCCTGGTTGCAAATTTTAATTGTATAACATAATGGATTTTTTGTGCGACAAATTAAATGACAAAACCAATTACAAAGCCAGACAACAATTGTGACTTAATCAGGTAAAACAACTAAATGGGTGACAGACTCAAATGACACAAAATCCTACCACAAAATGTGATATAAGATGAAGAATAGCAAAAAAAAAATTGCCATTTAAAATTTAAAATTTAAAAAATTGGCAATATCTTCAATGTATATGCTGGGGGTACATCTTGAAATTTCTGTTGGATATAAGTACTCATACCTAATAGTCAGGATGAAGAACAACAATAAAAGATAAATTCATGACTTTCTTTCCATGTTTTTATGAGTAAATTCATGATGCAAAAAGACAAAAATTCGGACATGAAGATTCAACTTTTAGATTTTGATTCATATTTTGACACTTGGGCACTATAAAACAAATCATAATATATGTTTGATAATTGATATTAAATATTCCAAAAAAATATCAACAAATCAAAATATATGTAACGAGTCAGTAACTTATAAATGTAAAATTTAAAAGTCCAACATTAAACTTTTGAATTAATAAAACTTTCGATCAATACCGTAAGTCAACAGACGTCTTAATTTTTATGGCTGAACCATATTAATTGTAACACTGCAGTTGTGAAACATTAAACTAGATCCTGTTGAACTAGGTGCAACTTTAGAGTCAATTTTCACCTGTTGATCTGTGTTTGGAATATTCGTGATATCGGATAACGGATGAAGCTCCACTTCACTCTGCACAATTTCATCAATTATTTGATCAGTTTGTGAAGCGGAAGGAACCAATTCATCCTCCGTTACACTGTTGTCGAATTCAACATTGCTTGCTTGAACAGTCAGATTTTCACTATGAGTTTCAGTTACATTAGTAAATTCAGGCACAAATTTAGACATTTCTCGTTTTTGTTTGTTTGTTGTGTCACGGCAATAAGATTTGATACTTTCCTCACTACGGTGGCCAGATATAGTGATAATATGACGTCCTTCAAATCCTGCTTCATTCAAAAGAGTAATGCAAGTTGCAAGAATACAATGGTTACTATAGACTTTGGACAAACTGGCAGCTTTAGAAATAGAAGCCATCATATCACCAAGTGTGTTTTTACCTAAAGGCTTGTTTTGAAGCCAACTATTACTATCCTCATAAAAGTCATCCTTAGCTCTCTAATAGCAATAGAGCAGAACAATTTGGGTTTCTTTTCTCTAAATATTTAACAGAGGATGCCAGTGGGCACATAGCAGTTTTTGTTTCATACATCCTACCACCTTCGGGTTCAAATTCCTCAGTTTGGTCACCCTGATGATTTTTAGTTAACTCTGATGTAACTTTACATACGTAGCGCTTACCCGAATCATCAGTCTGAATGTCAAAATCAGACTCTTTAAGGTTTCTCAAGTTTTCCTGTCCCCTACGACAAAAATACAAAATGATTTCAAAGAACACCTTGCTAAGAAGTCCAGTAGGTATGTTTGGATTAAATACACGAGGATGAGTGTAAAGTTTGACTATATCACCTTTCTGAATACTGGGTTTGTGTTGGATCTTTCCCTTTCCTTCTTGCCTTAATTTTTTACACATGGCTTTGAATGCATCGTTGGCATTGTTGAACGTAGAATCTGCAATGATATCAAAAGTTTTACTAACTGGCGGATTTCTAAGAAACCTATTCAAGCTCTGACGAAAAACTAAAAAACTACTACGGGTATAAAGTTCTCCGTTGTGGCGACGCAAGTTTATATAAAATCCTTTCAAAAGTGTACACAGTTCTGACACCGGCAACTTTTCAAATTCAACATCACGTTTCTTTGCCAAACAAAAATCCCGTAACAATTTTACAGCAAATTTTGTGGACTTAGCAGTGTTTTTAGAGTGAATGTTTGTCAGAAGATCATTTACTTCCTCCTCAGAAGCATCTGCAAAGCGATTTTCAACTTGTTTGGCTGACGCGTCGTCTGCAATGTCAACCATCTTGTGTATTTGTACTTATCGATTTCTCAACGAAAAGTTTAGAGGTCTTTGAAAGTCGTGTTATTTTTAGATAAGGTATTTTCCATCTGCCATGGTATTTGCTAGCAAATACCCCGGCACATGGAATTCCCTAATGACAAATTCACCGGTAGAGCAAAAAAATCTCAATACATAGAAAATTGGTGAAAAATACCATGCCTCTCATCCAATCAAAAGACAGCATTAATACATAAGGTGGAATTAATTTATGAATAACTGCAGTGTGTATATTAACAATATAAAATTTGGTACCCATTGAAATATTTTCTTGACAACTATTCGAAAAGGCTTCCAAGTTTTTATAAATTTGATGTAAAATGACGGTGGGCATGGATACCTTAAGAAGCTCCGTTCGAAGATGGTCATAATACTATTTGACTTCAATTTGTAAAACAGAATAATAAAATTCTAATATCACACATAACTGTTTGCCCAAGTTTTATTATAAAAAGTGGTAAGTTTAGAAAATGTTAGTATTGTCACCTATGGAAGAAAAAATACTACCGTGTTCCCTATATGATACCACAGACCGAAATGGGACACACGAATGAAAGTCAATTCATCAAAATATTTTAATTTACAATTTTAGGCTGTAGCAGAAGTTTGAATAAAGAAGTTATCTTATTTATATATCTGTTTCTGATTTTTTTTATGAAGATGACTTAAAAGAAACCTTACCTCACAGTTACGTCCTCTGTGTGAATGCTTTAGTTGTTTACTGCGAACTATAGATATTGTTGTTGTTATATATCATGTATATGTAAGACCAATATATAATTCTAAATGAAATTTTATTTACAAGAATTTAAGATAGTGAACTACATAGATTAATTTTCAAATTTTTTTTTAAAGACTACATTGCAATTATAAGAAACAAATCGCATCTTAAACTGTATTTAACTGATTAATTTAAGACTCATTCTAGGTTGTCCCCATAAAGTACCTCTACTGATGTGTGCGTGCATACACATATAAATACCAATAACGACAGACACATAAACATACGACTATAATTATCATTCCTCACTATGCACTGATGATGTTGATTTTGGCACTTATCATCTAACATATTACTAAACAATTCATCGAACTATATACATATTTTACCTGGATCATAGGCGATTGGACATTGCCCCTTTTAAATTTCATTCATATTTTTTCTATTTTACTCTAATTGTAGTGCTGAATTATTTCCCTTATCTGCAAAAATAAAATTAATGGAAAAAATGTATTAAAAAAATACCAAATATAAACATAAATTCAAAAAGGGGGAAGTCCATAAAAACTGACAAAATCAAGCGTAGACGTTTTCAACCAACGGAACGAATGGAAAATAACTGTCATATTCCGGACTTGGTACAGGCATCTTCCGAAGAAAATGGTGGGTTAAACCTGGTTTTATAGCTATCTTAACTGCGTGCAAATTAAATAAACGAGTCGATATCCTACTACTGATACTAATTACTTATAGTGGTAAGGGAACATACATGTGATTACAGAGGTCCGTAAGGGTTTGGAATCATGCCCAAGGTCGGCAATTTCAGAAATATCCCAATTTGACGATTGTCGTCCCATTTCGTCACCTGTAGGACCATAAGATGCCGAGAGGTGTAGTTTGCTATAGCCTGCATAGACAGTAAAACCTCCTTTAGTGAACACACCAATCCAAAAAGCAGCATTCCTAGTCAATCCAAAATCACCCAAAAGATTTTTAGCCGATTTTAAAATATTAGGGGACAGCAACAGAAAGTGGCTGTTCCAGACGCATAAATGAAGAATTTTGAATTTCAGAAGCTCACGAAGATTGCGAAATTGAATTTTTCTTTATGAATAACCTAGACAAGATACGAAAGTCTTATCTCTTGCTACGCACGCCCTTACCGAAAAATAAGCCTTGTGGCAAACATTTGCCGCAACCATTTTACCATGCAAATGAAGGTTGCGGCAAGCTTGCTGCAAACAAAATTATGCAAATTAGATTTGCCGCAAACTTGCCGCAACTGTTTGCTGCAAACTTGCGGCAATTGTTTTCTGCAAACTTGCGACAAGCTTGCAGGAACTACACATATACCAATGTCATGTGTGTAGACACATTCAATTTATCTCTTTCAAATTGCACATCAAAATTTAAAAAAAGAACTTCCTGTCTGTATACAAACACTGTCATTGAAAGAATACTTGCACACTTATGAGATTAAAGGAAATACATACATGCATTTCATTTTTGAAAAAGGGAGCGGGGGTCATTCTTAAATGACATCATATACCGGTGTTAAGAAATAAAAAAAGATAAATCTCTAATGTGTATTGAGCATAAAGCTTGTTTAAGGTAATAATTCCATTATAGAATTGAACTTAACTTTATTAAACAGTATACATTTAATCAGTTAAAAAATTCAAACTTTTAATAGCTAGAGTATTTCACATAGTTGTTACGATGGTGACATTAATTATTTTATCAAAACAGTTTGTATTTACAAAACTACATATTGAATATCCTATATTATTGAACCAAAATGCCTCCTTGATCTCTTATATGTAACATTTATCAAACACAATCAACATGACCTAGCCCACAATTTCAAATTGTTAGCTTTTCAGGAAGTGCCAACTAGGCATGCCCAGTCAATACTGTGTAATTCTTGCAATGTTCTGGCAAACATATAGAATGGTCAAAGTTTTCTGCAATTTTGCGGCTAACATAAAGAATGGTCAAAGTTTCTGCAATCTTGCGGCAAACATTCTTTATTATCTTAACTTTCTTGCAATCTTACTGCAAACATTGATGTTTCTGGAAACTTGCCGCAAGATGCTGCAATGTTTGCGGGAAGTTTGCAGCTAGCGGCAAACATCTGCAAACACTATTTTCTGTGTTCCTGCAAACTTTTTGTTTGCCGCAAACTTGCAGCAAGTCTGCTGCAAATTTGCGGCAAACATTTCAGTTCTATAAGGGCGCAGCCTGACTAGCCAATCCCCAAAACAATGCATGTTCCACGTGCGTTTTCTCATTCTCCTACTGAAGAGTGTCCAGTGAAGAGAAAAAATAAATTAACTGCAAAACATTAACCATGTTTACATTAGCTAACCAAATTAATCAGAATAAACTTCATAAAACGACTGACAGTACAACTCCATTAAAGAAAACATGTCTTTTGGTGGATAATTGTCTCGTTTAGTTACAGATTCCACAATCGTACTGATATCGTAGCTGTTGTTTATGAAAACATTTCATTTAGTCTTGCCTGAACCGAATTTTGCCTGAAAATATAATGTATTTTCGTTTATGGAAATTAATGGTTCCAGTAAGTTATAAAATGTATATAACCACTAGAAGTATTCGTATTCTTATTGGTCGTTTGAAATATAGATACAATTTAAAGACCCAACTTCTATCTGTGTCTGTCGATTTTAATTGTTTCCCCTATGAAATCGCAACATCCAAATCTGTTCAAGCTTTATAGAATCTGTAAGATTCCTCATTTGAGCTAATATTGTTGGCAATTGTAGTAATGATGTATCAAACGCAAGCCTAGAGAAAATCATTGCTCCTTATCAGAACATTTTTGAATCAAGGTTTTAAACTTGTTGGAATATTAATTGTACCTGAACAAAGATTTTGTACTTCTTGCTGATCGGATGGCATCACCATTAGGTTCCTGAATGTGCCATGATTCAATAGAACTCATGAAATTTGGCATTTTCAGAGAAATCACCGAATCTATATATATATATATAACGTCTAGGAATGATGCAACATGGTTTCCATTTAACACTATCTGGTTTCAAAATTTTTCTTTTTTTAAACTATTTTGCGAGTTTGAACTTATCTTTGCTTGAATATTAGTATATTATACATGGATTGCTTACATTCCTCAGTTGGTTCCGTTATGAAAAAAAAAGATGTTGCTGAAATCGATAGAAAATTAGAATCTTGCAAAGGGGAAGTTAACACCGGACGTAAGCAGTCTTACATGTCAATAGACAACTGGATTAGAAAGAAGCCATTCTGGACATTCGACACAATTATCAAGTGAGCTCTTTTGAAGTTTTGCTTTAATTATTTTGATCTCAGCACATTCAGAGACCGTATAAAATATACCTCATAACAACATAGAAAATTGGAAATGATTATCACATCTGTCACATTCATAGTGATTTTCATTAAAAGCTTTTATTTTAATTTATGAATGCTTCAATAGAATTAAACAAGCAACTTTCCTTAGAAGTAGACACATACATGCAAAAAGTGTATAGAAAAGACCGAACTCGAAGGCCAATTCAAAAAGGGGAAGTCCATAAAAACTGACAAAATCAAACGCAATCAATCAACGGAACAATTTATAAACAAATGCCATATTCCTAACTTGGTGCAGGCATTTTCCGAAGAAAATGGTGGGTTTAATCTGGTTTTATAGCTAGCTAAACCTCCCACTTGTATGACAGTTGTTTATAGTTTATAAACCCGGCAAACAGACATAATAGGTTAATGTGACAATAATTGGGATCCAGCAGCCTGTGTAAACATAATACATCAGCCATACAAAACAACTGACTTTAAGGTGTAGTAAAGAGAAAATTTGACAATGACGTCAACAAAAAAGTTTTTGTCGTTGATAGTATACATACCGTTTAAAGTATACACTTTCTCTGTTAAGTCTATTTTTGGTAATATCCTTTAACGTGGCTCGGTATTTATACATCCCGCGATTGTGTTATTGTACTATGGTCATTTTTTGTATTTATGGCTTTCATTTTTGCTAATGTGCTTTGTCTATAGAGTGTCGATATGCCATTTTGTTTTTCTTTGTTGACATAATAGTTGTTTGCCTTAATAATGATTAAGATTATAACACAATGTTGACTGCTGTACCCCAATTTTTGACATTTTTACCTATTATGTCTGTTTGTTTTGCTCACACATTGTTGTAAATATTATTGAATTCTATGCGACTGACATAGTGTCAAGTGAGAGGTTTAGCTAGCTATAAAACCAGGTTTAATCCACCATTTTCAACATAAGGAAATGCCTGTACCAAGTCGGGAATATAACAGTTGTTTTCAATTCTTTTGATGTGTTTGATTTTGTCATTTGAAAAAGGACTTGCCGTTTTGAATTTTCCTTGGAGTTCTGTATTTTTGTTTTTCTGCTTTTTTCTCGATAAAGTAAAAAATTAAGTAAATAGAAATACAAGGGTAAACAAAATAGAAACAACACTGTAAAAACCCTTTGTGCACTAGACAAGATCAATAAAATATCTCTGACTGTGCGAGAGTTGTTGAGAGCTTAAAAAAGAATTGTAAAATCGTTTTATTATTGTGAAACGCGTATATTTTCCCCATATTTTCATCAATAAAAAACGTATAATTGATGCATGTAAATACCCATTTTCACTATGACTTTGGAATGATATGATAAGTTAGCCGGTGATGCTACTCCGTTGACGGATCTGGATTAACACTGTTTGATTCATTTGAATGCGGTTGTTTTTCCCTCCCACGTCGAGTTTGAATGAAACGCTATTTCCAACACCGCGTTTTGAAAGGGTGTTTGTCTTGATTATACCAGGACTTATATTATATTTGAACTGACATCAGTAAACAATCTACATGTGATAGTCAGCCGAATCATACTTAGCTTGACGAGAGAGAGAACTATGCCACGAAACATTTGGCCACCGTGTTTCATATAAGCCTTACCATTGGTATAGTTTGTATTCCCTCAATAGCTAGTGAAAAATCATCTTTGTAACATTTATTTATCTAGTTACACGAATATGTAGCTACTTTTAAATTTTAATAGTGAAGCTTCACTATTGAACTTTAAACAGCTACACGTACCTAGATAAAATAATGTCATATGGTCCAAGGACACAGTTATCGTCCTTTGGTTTTCGTTGTCTACAAATATAGTCCCTAGTGTGAACAGTGTATAACTTGCATTTTTTTTGGATACACTTTCCCAATTTATTTCTTGATATTTTATGCATGAAATATTAAGTAAGGGGATGAAATTACATGTTAAAAAAATTTGGGTGCTGAATCTTTATGTTAAGTAGTGATTTGGTCCAGTTAAAAAAGGTCAAAAACTAGAATGTCTGAAGCTGTCAAACTGAATTTTAGCCCCCCTTAACACAGAACTGTCAATATTTTGAGTTAGAGCTGGTAGAAGTTTCTATAATTTTGATATTATTTGTATCAATAGTAGTACACTACACTGTAAAAATCTTTTTGAGATAGAGCAGGTGCGATTTTTTTAATTTGAATTTATTGTCTAAAAGAAATGCACTACGAAATAACTGTGTTCTCGGGCCATATAGCTCCTAACGTTTCTACGTATTTATACATCCCTGGCTTTTAAATGTTGAGGTTCAAGCGTTCATGATGAAGATTAATCAAGAAAAGCGCATCGTACTCACGTAATTTATGAAAAAAAATGTTTTCATTTTGAGAAAAAATACACAAAAATGATCTTTAAAGCACTCCGGGAATCTTATTCCATCTGCAACATAAACCAATTTAAACAAAGTATTGTAAATCATTTAAGTTAAACGTTTGTATATAAGACAATTACCCATAAATATACTTGTACATTACTGATATTCAATATTGGAATACATGCATATATAGTAGTCTCCTAGGATTCTAGTTCACTAATTGTTATTTTTAAGATAGTCATCAAACATTAGTCTATTAAAATAATTTTCAATGTCGAAATATTATTACATTACTTATATACCTACATGGAGTTATTTTCTTTCAGAACGACAGGTCATTCTTTCGAAGAATCAACCCGGACGATACCAAGTTTCAATGAAATGTACTTCAAGGCATAAAATAATGACCTGTATAAGGTCATTATTTTCTTGATTAGAACGCAAACTTTAATTTACTTAAACATTTAATTCTTTTGATATCTATCGTGTGTTGTTGCCAATTGAGGGTTCACTTTTTTATTTTCCATATTCGCAGGTTTAATGCAGAAAACAATCCTTTCCTCCGTTTAATGGACTGACATACCAAAAATTGCCGTTGACACACATTTCAACTTTCAAAATAAATAATGTGAAGTTTAGTTAATTTATCGCTACAATAAAGGGATACTATGTGAGATTAATTTAATAATGCAAAACTTTTCATAAAAAAGCCAGATTTAACACATTCGTGTGTAGAATTGTGAAAATCTTATTTATTCATATTATATTGGAAAATATACTTTGACCTATGGATATTCGTTTTTCGTGTTACATGTACATGCATCATGAATTCGTGCTCTTCATGCCAGTTTTTTTTTTACATATTAATATACCTTTTACTTTATCTAATGATCAAATGGACAAATATTTTTTTCTATAGAATCACACCCACGTACTTTAAAATGGGGAGGGGGTATAATATTAAATCCTGATTCTTGAGTTTTATAAATAAAAAAAGTGGTATTACCAGACAAAAGAGAGAAAACAGTTATTCTGAATTATTCGTTTCAAAAATTGCTGAAAAAATAAGATGCTTTTCCGCGATAAAAACGGAATGAAAATAAACAACAACAAAAAAAACATAGCGTTCCTCTTTCATAAACAAAGTTGATACAATAAATTACTTACAAAGTGACTTGAAATTTTCATATACCGTAACATTTCATTTGTGTCTTGCTTCATGCAGTTACAGTAATATTCCTATTAAAACTGGACAATGATTTCTAAAGTTTATATATCTAGATAAATTAGTGAGTTTTATTACACATTACAAATGAACACATCAGAAAAGAATATCTTAATTTAGTGTGGTCGGTAAAATAGGATGGAAATACTGTAAATTTTTGCAGAAAATAATATTTGTTGACGATATATAATAAGTCAGATAATGCATATTTTAAGATTTTTCTTGTCGTATAACACACCACGGGGTGTCAGGATTGCCCAAAGAAAGATCTCCCTACGGTCGGTCTTTCATTTGACCAATCCTGACACCCCTCGGTGTGTTAAACTTCAAGAAAAACTTTAAAATATGCATTATATATAACATATAAAATTAATGCGAGGTATTCGAAAGAGAAATAATTTCTTGTAACCAAAAAAATATATATATGAAATAAGCATTTAAAATTATCCTGAGTTATTGTACATTATTGTGTCACATTTCTTTGACAGGAGAAACTAATTTAATAATCAATCTTTGAAAAAATAGATTTGTATAATGCTTGATTTTCAACATGTTTTGAAAGACTGTAGCATTAGTTATAACTTATCAATGTATATGAAAGTTTCTAATATAGTCTTCGTAGATACAATGTATGTAAAGTTACACTGTTTCATAATAAAAAAATCCATATAAATGTATCAACATTTTATAAAATTGCAATCATCAATCCATATGAACGCTACCATCCGTCAAGATCACTTATTCGTTCAATCATTCATCCATATGAATCGACTATCCACCAAGAACATCTCTCGTCCAATCATCCATCAATATTAACGTATCCATCCCCAATATCACTTATTTGTCTAATCATCCATCAAAATGAACGCATCCACCCACTACATTCGCGCGTCCAATCATCCATCAATATGAACGCTTCCATCCACCAAGACACTCATTTGTCGTTATGAAATCACAAAACCTTTAAGAGACTAATCCGTCTAACTAGCCAACTCGGTCTCATCTATCAAAAAATATATATTAATATCAGAATTAAATAAACTTAGTGTTCCGTATGTTGAAGGTAATGAAGTTCGCTGTTTGTAGATATCGCAATAGATTCATACTGCAATTATACTGATGTACTTTCATTTTTAACTGAAAAAGAATACATAAGATGTTGGCAATTTTTTAAAGAGTACTATAAATTTTGCGTTTTTTTTTTTTTTTTTAATTAGATATGTATTTTTTTATTCATTGGTTGCTTGTTGATAGCTTAACTTCCTGTTGCTCATATATTGTTCAATTATATATTCAATTTGCTAATGAAAACATTTGAATAATGAAATAATCATGCAATAAACATTTTCATTATGTACCTAGTAGTAAATACAAGTAAATTGTATTGTAATACAAGCAATGGCAATCGTGCTGTATCAGCTATCCGTGATGATATCGATATCTGTCACGGTTGCAAAGGCTTTATTAAACCTCTAACCTGTATGACGTCATGCAATCGATATCAGTCCCGGTTGCAAGGATTTTTCAAGCGCTTAATCTGGATAACGTCATGTCACACGAAAAACTTCTATTTAAGTTATGTAATAAAGTGTATATGAGCTCTTGGGATTATATTGGTATCTCGGGTTGATACGAGTGTGATATTAAAAACAGCCATATGATATTCTCTATATATACACGCGATATAAATGTTTGTGTCTTGTTTGCTGTTCATACGTTATTGAAAATAATCATTGCAACACAGTTGGCTGTAACCTACATGTATATATTTTTCATGTTGTCTTTCGCCAGCTTGACACTATATAGGCTAATTCTTTAAATATATAAACTTAACTTTTTTTTTTTCCAATTTTTTGAATTATTTGGGACGTGTCAATTTATTTTTTATAAATATAAGAAGATGTGGTATGATTGCCAATGAGACAACTCTCCACCAGAGACAAAATGACAAAGAAGTTAACTACATATGTTTGCCTATTTCACTAGTCGCAGTTAATAACCGAGGCGGTATAAAAAGTGTTATCTGATAATTTGCCTTGGAGTTCGGTATTTTTGTTATACTTTTTTTTCTATTTCATTATGATACATGTCTTACTTGAATCATTTATCTCCCTTGTTTTCATGGATTGGATTTTCTTGCTGACTGTTCCATACATCCTGTATAGAACACGTTCTACAGAGGAAAAATTTGAAGGAGTTTGTCTACATATGGGACATTTCAATTGTGTGTCTAATGATCTATTGACACAATTCTTATGAAATGCTGAAAAAATACATATTAATCTTGTAATAGCCTCGAATTGACTTAGTATAACTAAAATGATGTTAATTTTATGAACCAGTAAACATTTGAAACTTAATGAATGATTTTTAAAACATTGAAAAACTTGAATACTAGTATAACTTATCAACATATGTAATAGTAGTAACATGGCAGGTGTCACGTGTGAATTAGGATCAGCTTTCCCTTCCGTAGCGCCTATGACTAACCCCGCTTTTTAGTGGGGTTCGTGTTGCTCAGTGTTTAATTTTCTATGTTGTGTTTTGTATACTGTTGATTGTCTTTTGGTCGTTTTTTCTTTTTTTGCCATGGCGTTTTCAGTTTGTTTTTGACTTTACTAATGAGTTTGAATGTCCCTTTGGTTTCTTTCGACTCTCTTTTGACAAAACAATGAATAAATGGTAAGAGATCAGAAAAATACGGATTTTTGGGAGGAATGGCGATGCTTTGTTACCATGCTATTTTACAAAAACATTATCAGTATCATGTCATATTCAACTCTTCATTACAATAGCAAATAAATATATGTAACAGTACAAATTAGAATTTGGTAGGGTCCAAGATCCTTCTAGTAGAAATTTGAATTCTGATTTATACTAATTAGAATTCAGTACAAATCAGAATTCCTATATCTACTAGTAGAAAGTTTGATATCCAGATTTTCGACTATGAGGATTCTGGGTTGTCTAGTAGGACCCAGGATGTTACTAAAATCAATAGTTAGTATGATTCTGGATTCTATTGGATTTGTTTTATTATTTATTGTTTTTACTGATGCACTTGATAAGTAGGAAAACAAAATACTTGATAATATAATGCCACTTTCAGTATTTAATTACGAACAAAATGTGGTAAAATACATAAACATTCGTGAAATTCTTTTATTTATAATAGCATTTGCTAATATTATGTTGATGGTAGTTTGATATGCAAACAACTGTGACTTAACAGCATGAACAGAGTTCAGAGAAAAACTTTGCGTAAATTAACAAGACTGCACTAGTCTCGTAAACCAATCTTGATCTGAAATGATCGTTTTGATCTGAATAGCTCTTAAAAGACTAAAATGATTATTACGTCATTTTCAGTTTTCAGTCACTGCGGTAAATTTAGTACTGTTCAGACATTTCGCTTGCAGTTAATTAAGATCTGTTCAGTCTTTGTTCAGACTTCGCAGTAGCCGCTATTAACCTGTGCACATCAACTGAATTGTCTGAAATGCTACCGAACAGTACTGAATTGACTGCAAGATGAACATGACTTTAATATGCAGACTTTTCCGATCCTGTTAAGATCAAAATGACAAACAATACTGTGACCTATAAAGTTGCATGCATTCACGTCATTTGGACTCAGGTGGATAGTAGTCCAATTCGCAATTATAACACAACTTAATTTTATACTAAAGAAATAGTAGATAAATTGACTTCCGCCCAGTACAAACATGAAACAAAGTAAGACTTGTTTAATCCAGTCCTCCAATTTTTATCTGTTTGATATTTGAACTTTATAGTATCATTTTAGTTAGTTTCAGATTAGTAAAAGAGATTTTGTACAGATCCAAGTTATTTTGTCACGCATATTTACAACGAAAAAGTTAAATGATATTTTTTTTAAATTTTAAATAGTATTTCCAGATAGACAGTGACCTGAATCATTTAATCACACTTTTAAATGCCTTTTTTTCAATACGTAGGTTTTAAGGTTTCAAAAAAGTAAAGAAGGAAAGAAGAAAGCTTGAATTGATGTAGGTTGACCAATTTTGTCATAGACTTAGCTAATTATAATTTAAAATTGCACGAATAGCTTTTCTAACTGAAACACTTTGAAATTATTTGTTATATGCGCGAGACTAAATATTTAAGGCTTAAGAATTCTAATTTAATTTTGAGCAGAGACTGTTTGTATGGCAAAGTCCTCCTCCCGTTGGACAGAAGAATAATCACGAAATATATGTTTACTTTGTCAACCACATAACCTCCGACGTTTCTTCTTCTATCAAAGTGGTTCTCAAATTGACATGTCAGTTTTGTACCTGTCTGGCTAATTTATTCTTCCGTTAAAAATCAAGTGACAGAAATTTTCAAATGGTCTCTCTCTTATATTTTTGTTAGCCGTATTTTATTGATGCAACTTACTGTGTTCACAGGTGAGCCTTACTACTTTTTCCCTGTTTGAATCCTTTTGTTCAATGCAAATACCACAGTTCGACCCTGCAGATGAAAAGTTAAAAATAAATAATGAAACGTAAGCCATCATTTCAAAATCAAAGAGAGGCAATAACCTATGTATTTATACACACACGGGTTCAAAGTCTAAAAGTTGTTAAATCGCACTGGATTTTGGATATAAATTCGTTTAAATAATTTATTTAGATTGTGTTTTATATCCCTGTTTTGATTTACATGATTTTATTGATAGAGCAATGCTGTTTGCAAGGAAGCTATTGAACCGAAGACTCTCAATACTGATAAGGACACAATCATGCCTTGGTTTACCTTATCCGAAAATTCCTATGTTAGCTCTTCTATGTTTGTATTACGTTGGATTATCCAACATATTGGCCTTGGGCATTAAGAAGACATATTTATTGTAGAAATGCGCGTCTGGTGTAGAAAAATTGATGCCGTTAATGTTATCATAACCACGTAAATGTTCCATGTGAGATGTGCCTTAATTAATCATCTTTTCCATGTGTTTGTGTGTGTGTGCTAGTGTCTAACCATTGTACTTTGACTTTTCAGGAACAATACCATTTTGCCAATAATGGATCAGGAACGACTCACTCTTCCAAATCACCTGAGCTCAGTTTAAGGTGAGGTTCTTGCTGGTTTATCTTTTAAATTAGTTTGATGTGCAGATATTTTGAGAATTCTGCTTGTATTATTTTGTTAGTCATTACGTTCTCTTCTTTGTTAAGGATTATTTTATTGCCCCTTGATATTTTCATACTTTTATGCATTTTATAGGTTGTTTTTTTTTAGTGGGGGTAGAAGGGGATAACATGAAAAAGTATATAATACATACTAGGATTTCTTTTCGTAATTAAAACATAAATAATTTGAAAACAAAATTATTTAAAATGATAAGCTGTAGTAAAGTGTATCCTTTATATAAGACAAACAACAAAACAGCTTTCATTTTGATAAGTGATTTGAAGTGACTTCCTGTGATTACCTCCAAATTATTAAATGTATATTTGTACATTGTGCCCCCTTACATAACTTACCCATAAGTATTGTTACAGGAATGTATGATGTCTTTCGATGTATTTTCTGCAACAAGATACATTATATAAGCATAATAATAAGCTTGTGTCCAGTTTTAGGAATTCCCCGAAAAAGCACACTCAATGTCACATAAATTGATAATATTATTAGATTATTTTGGTCATATAGCTATTTTAGGAAGTACGTATACTTCCTTGATGTTCAATTTTTTTAGGTTTGAGTGATTCTGGTTAAGTTATTCCAGAAAAGCCCTTCGGACACTTATTTTCAAAGACTTATGTTCTGAACCTGTTTTTTTAAAATTCTGATGAAACCCGGTTAAACGTTTACGATAGTCAAAATCATAAAGAAAGCATTAATTAAGGGTCAGTTAGTTTAAAACAAGAAGAACCCCTAAGTTATACGTATTATAAGCTCCTATATTGCGAAATTATTTGACAATTTAATAATTTCTTGGTCCTACGTATACGATACGTAAAAATCATTTTGATATTGGACTTCATGTTGACATCAAATATCACTGATATGGTCATAATTAAAAATTGACAGTTTACAAAACTTTGAATTTTTCTATCCCAAGAGAAGGTTATCTTAACTGTTTTTGGCAAAACCTTACGGACTTTTGGGTCCTCAATGATCTTCAACTTCGTACATTATTTTGCCTTTTTAACGTTTTTAATTCGACCGTCACTGATGAATCATTTGAAGACGCGCGGCTGTCGTAAAAATATTTAAGCCTGGTACAATGTATCTATAATGAGTTTATATAATACTTTATCTCGTATGTTCATCTGTTTTGTTGAGGTTCGAGTTGTTTCATCTTTAGTTATCAATGAAATGATTATTAATTGTTTGTTCATTTGACTTTTATATTAGAGCTAGGAAGTTGTCTAATTTCTTCGTTAATGACCAAATGGTACTTTCTTTTTCACAGGCGTAATGTCCGAACCACACTTTCAAAGAGTTTGCTTAAATTCACAAAAAAAAACGATTATTCTTTTTTTTTTTTTTTTTTTTTGTACATCAAAGATCGATCTTTTAATTGGCATTATCAATTTCTTAATTTTTTTTATGTTTGTTTGTACATTGATATTTGGATAAAGACAAACAGTAACATATTAAAACTCATATCTTATGTTATTGTCAGGCTTTAGGCTTTGGAGTTCGGCTTGACTGTAACTCAACGTTGGAAAAATATGCTAGTACTGAAAGATTAATAACTTCTTATACTTTTCTATTACATACAACAAGCAAGTCAAACTTTAATTGGTTTTAATGAACAATCACTACTAAGGTAAGGAAGTGTCTAATCGTATAGGTTGGTATATAAAACAATAATAATGATGCCTTAAAAAAAATCTAATGTGTTACAGTGAAACTTTATTAAAGATAATTACACATAAATTATATAATATGTTATGTATAATGTCATAAATCTGTCTTTCCTTTTCGAATGTTTGTTGTTTTCAATAAGCAAATGTGAATTTCAGGTTTGACATTCCATAAAATGTACAACAAAATATTTTTTTTTCAACTGCCCAATCACAAATTTCAACTTGAACTCACACTTAAAGCTACCAGTAACAGTCTTGTCTATTTCTTTCCCTAAAAAACGTGTTTCGTTTTTAGAATTCGGTCATCTTTAAGGTTTTACTTAATTTACAAGTGCAATGGATTACCAATTTGGTGATGTTTTATGGTTAGATAAGGGTCACTTACCAATCTACCATTGCATGATTCCTGATAACTGAATATCAATTATCAACGCATCTTATAGGAGTAACACGTCGAGTGGCACTAGTGGAGCAAAATCTGCTTACCCTTCCAGAGCACCTGAATCACCCATAGTTTTGGTGGGTTCGTGAAGCTCAATAGTTACTTTTCTATGTAATGATTTTTGAAGTTGTTTGTCTTTTCGTCGTCTTTCATTTTAATGTCATGGCGTAGTCAGTTTCTCTCGACTTATGAGTTTTGAACACCCCCTTGGTATCATCCACCTCTTAATTTATTTGAAAAAAACCTAAACTAAATGAGGACAATATTGATGAGCTGTCTGCACAAACTGGAGATATTGTTCTATCATCAATTGGTATTGTTATTATTATTATTATTATTATTATTATTATTATTATTATTATTATTCTATCGATTTGAATAAAATCTCCTACAAATCCAAACCTTTTGAGCATGAACCTTATGCCATCCCTTACAGCAGGCTACCAATGATAGAACTAAGACTAATATCGAAATAGCTGTTATACTAATTGTAGCTATGATATCTTGATTTGAAAGCTCCGACTTTCGCCTGAAAAGAGAAAGTAGCTGAATACAGCAATGATGTCTCAAAATTTGCTATCATATAAATAATATCGATATGCATATGACAAAACAGTTTCGAAATACTAGGAAGCAATCATCGAAGAAAACATTGACTATTTCACCCAATGTATATAAAAATCTGCAGTCGAACTTTGCATTCAATTTCAGCCAACAAATAATATAATGTAAGCCATATTGAGTTACTTTTAAAATGAGCCTAATATACAGCAAAATCTAATAATATAGGGAAATACCTATGAATATTTGATATCCAACCTTGTATAAGAATCATTAATTGAGACTAGATACCATTTATCTTAAACTTTCAAGTTTTCATAATGGCATTTAGAATGAATGTCCCTAGGTTGAGGTTTTAAATATTTTCATTTGGGTTTTCAACCTGAAATATTAAAACCAAAGCAATGAAATATAAAAGTTATGTAAGATTGAACACGCAAATACCTCTTTGTTTGTACTAAACTTCACACACAGGACCTTGTTCATCCTTTTCTTGAATGTTTGGTAAAAATTGTCGAAGAAAATTAGGGAATATGGAAGTGTAATTTCACTTTATAAACCCATAGAAACATATTCACCTCCCTAGTTACTATGGATGTAACTTAATATATAGGCTGTTAGTTTTCTGAATTGAATTGTTCAATATTTTTCATGGTGGGGCCTTTTATAGCCGACTAAACGGTATGGGTTTTTCTCATTGTTGAAGGTCGTATAGTTGCTATAATTGCTTACATCCACTTCATTTGAACTTTGATGATTCATTGGTAATAATACCCCATCTCCTTATTTTTATATTGTTCTAATGTAAAGTCTTAAGGCCTATGGCTTTATTGAGGTCAAAAGTATATCATCGCACATTTCAAAATAAAACCTTTTACTTCTGAATATGTTTGGGTATTTGTGCTGTTGAGTTGGTGTTTTATTGACGTATAACTCACATCTCCTTTTATTCACAAGTATAAACAAATATAATTCGATATGTAGCAAATCATTGTGCATATTTAAATTTTCAAATTTCCCTTAAACCAGAACAGCAATCCAGAGTTAATGACGATGCAATTATAAGACCAAAATCCGTCGTTTTATACTAATTTGAAACATCAATGTAATTTGTAACTACACATTACACAATATCATTTCAATATCTGCAAAGAAGGGTTAAAAAGAATATACAATTATCATTTGTATTTTTTTTTAAATACAGTTATTAGGACAACATTAGGAATATTAGAATGAAACTCGCGTATTATGTCCAAGTACTTGTCGTATATCTATATACTAAATATCAGCTAAATATTTAGCGAAAAATATTAAGCTACCATTTTGCTTTTCGGCCCTTATGTTCTTTCGATAGTTAGGCGACCACCTTGATTATTCGTCACAATTTAAAAGAAAACATTTCTTTGCTTTGCTCCTGTGGAATGGCAACCAAAGATGAAGAACTGAATCTACCTTCATTGTACTAAATACCAAAGAAACCTCTTTTTAAACTATTAACATCAGTTTTATCAACAATAAAAACCGGTCCTCAGAGTAAATATGAAACGTGCTACTCTAAGGACGATGTGAATCAGGTGTGGATACTTTGGACTTCATTAGATCTGTTTCAGTACGTACAGTCTAATATAAATAAGAAGATGTGGTATGAGTGCCAATGAGACAACTCTCCATCCAAGTCAAAATATATAAGAGTGGAACAATTATAGGTCAAAGTACGGCCTTCAACACGGAGCCTTGGCCCACACCGAACAGCAAGATAAAAAGGGCCCCAAAATGACCCACACCAACAAACGACAACAACTGAACAACAACTTAGGACAGGTGCATAAAAATGCATCGGGTTTAAACGTTTTAACAGGCGCCAACCTTCACCCTAACCTGATACAGTAGTGTAACATTACAACATTACAACATAAAAAAGACACACTATAAAATATCAATTGAAATGGCTTAACTCGATCAAAAAGACATTAAAACAAAAACAAGTAAACATATACAAAACGAATAAGTTTGATCTTTGACACACTATAAATACAATATTTAAACGTAGGTGCCTATATAACATAGACGTTACAGGTATTAATAAAATTAGATGAATCAGAGTGTCAATAAGCCAACTCTAATCTTGGACAAAATGGCGTTAAATAAAACTACGTACACAGGTAAATTTAAATATAATAATTTTGTTGTTAGGAGTACGTTATTTTTTTTTACCATATTAATAGATTTGTTGTTCAGAGTGCGAGTACTGAAGTGAATATTTATCGTCATACTAAATACTTGGTGGTACATATTAAACATAGTGAGACGAGATATAACACAAAATAAGTAAACATTGAATTACAGAAATGCATTACAAATTATGGCAACAGGTCAACTTAACACGAAAGTACGATTTGAGAGTACTCTCAGTTACTGAAAGCTAGTTAAAAGCCAAAAACAATAAATAAAAAAAATCATGCATCAGATACTAAAATCAATTTAAACACATCCCAGGTATTAAGTGTTTTAACGCCATGGACAGTCAAAGAAAACATGACGTGCAATGCCAAAATAAAAGTTTCGACAGGCAGTAGGATCGTTAGGATATAACCTTATAATAAATATGTATCATGTTATATATAGATATATAAAGCAATCTCTAAATAGAAAATAAACGTGGATGTGTATTTATACATCCAAAACCCATTCGAAAAGAATACAAATTTAGTTATGTTTTAATTTGTTGATGACAAAATCGATGTTAGTGCCAATGTAAACAATATTCAAAGATCTTATTACAACATTAATAAGACAATCTTTACTAATAAGTTTGTTTAAAGGGTCGATGAGTTCACACGGATCACTTAGTGATTTCCGCGCTTTTTAGTACAATATTACCGTAACATTTAGGATGTGAAACACTATTTTAATAAGTTTTCTACAGGTACAGACATATTTACTAATCAAATCTTTGTATCTTTGAAAGAATTTAGTAAATGTTTTAAGTAATTTATGGTAACGAAATCCCTGATTTAATAAACCTTTTTCCTATTGCAATAGTATAAAACATTTGACTTCTCTGCCCTTTGCACTAGTATTCCCTATTTGTAACTTCTTAAAGACGAATTGAAATAATTAGTCCAACCATATTGCACATAAGAGAATGGCCAACGAAGATACAGATACTTTGTTGTAGGAACAATCTGTATTCTTATAGGAACCAACTGTGCTCCTTATCATACCGACTTGTTCCTTTATTCATAAGTGACTTCATATAGGATTTTCTAAGAAAAAACGTAAAGAAGCTAGCACGTTCCTTTAACTTCTCTTTCCGCTATATTTACGATGTCCTCTCATTAAATAATTCAAAGTTTGGTTTGTTGAACGCATCTATCCCATCGAACTTAATATGAAGATTACCACATATATATTTAAGTAGGTCTCATATCTTGACTTACATGTACATCTAAATGATGACAATGAAGGTCGGTTTCTGACAAACATTTACGACAAAAAGTATGATTTCAACTTCCCAATTGTGAACTTTCCATTTCTATGAAGCAACTTTCCAGCAGCACCTGCATATATCTCTCAGTTGATATAATATTCTTATCCCGATTTCCTTGATAGATGGTTACTGCTTATAAGGAAGCTATTGTTTCAACTGGTAGAGTTGAAGTCATCCATTTAAAATTTTAGAGGACGCCATCACGAATTGATTGATCGGTTTGTAATATCTTTGTCAGTTGACCACGAATATTTTACAATTGTCGTAAAAACTATAATAACAAAAATACCGAACTCCAAGGACAATTCCTTGTCCTCTGTTTCTCGATTGTGACCTAATGAGACTTTTTTCATAGAATTTGTACCTACTATAAGCAACACAGCGGTGCTGAGGAGCATGATCTGATTACCCTTCCGTAACATCTTAGATCAACCTGGGTTTTTGGTGGGGTTCGTGTTGCTAAGACTTTGTTTGTCTTTACGTCGTTATTCCATTTTGCCATGGCGTTCTCCGTTTCGTTTCGGCTTATGAGATTTGAAAGATATCCTTTTGGTATTTTTCGCTTCTTTTTCACAAGTTCTTTTTCATTTCTTGTGGTGTTGTGTTGCTGTCTCATTGGAGTTTACTCAAGACTCCTTTTGTTCATTTTTGAAGAATGATGCAGAACTTTTTTGTCGCAATTGATCCAGTAGTTTAAGATGTGTATTTATTTTTGTTTACATACGAACAAATGCCATGTGACAGTGAAACTCTATACCTGATTCCGATCAGCAGAACCGAATATGAACATTACAGCATCTTTTGTATTTTGATGGAAACAGATGTTTTAAGCACCAATATATACGATACATACCATTTAGTAAACGAGTATAATCCTGAACATACTATCAATAATATTGACCCAAGAATAGCCAGGAAAATGGATGTCTTTCGTTGATTGTCATTCATCGCATATTGTGTTGCTTTAAAAATTATACGTCAATTTGATTACAGGTATTAGTTTATTAAGTCTGTGATCCTACTGTTTGTGTTCTGACCTATTGTAATGAATTCAGTGGTCGAATTTAAAGTTACTGAAATAATCTAGACAGTATGGATAATTAATGCTGAATTATGCAATGTGCAGTACCTTCTTAGCTATAACATTAGTTATGTAAGAAATTTGTAAGTATCTGTTTCATTTCTGAACGTGATATGATTAATTCGCAGTCAGGTAACACAGTTTAATCACTTATGGTAAGACGTCCTTGTCGATGAACTATATATCTTCTTTACCTAATAAATTCAATGGTTATCCTTTCTTGGATTTAAACGCGACAAAAAATGATCTTTGGAAGGCTTTTGTTTTAAAGAAATTTTAACTGTTTATTTTTACCTTTCAAATGCATTTAACGTACACATTTTTTGTCTAGATCATTTCCTATTTTGTGCTAATAAATTTCGTTATTCCTCAAAAAAACACTAAGACATTAATAGATAATATATGTATAGTCCAACAACCAGTTCATGCAGTAAACTTTATCATAAGACAAGTTCATATTTCAGTATCAAGATACAATTGCTTTGTCTACAGTTGCAAGTACCTTAGAGAAGTTGATCCGAAACGTGCCAGTCAAAAGGATAAACTGCATTAAAACAATATCGGGTATCATTTAACACAAAGAGAAAAATAAAACAAGTGTAAGTACGTGGATATGTACATGTGTTTGTTTTAAATTTTATATACACCTCTATTAAAAATGTGAAATATTAAATGTAATTGAAGTTTAGTTTTGTTATTTTTGATAGATAAGACAATAGTTGCTCAAATCCACGTTATTTGGACCTAGTGGAAACGAATAAAAAAAAACAGTTCATAAGGTCGGCATCTCCAGTGCTCATTTTCTCGTCGACTAAATTATTCGCTTCATACAAGGACTTCTCAAGAAAAAGAAAAGAAAAAGCTATCATTATCTTCAACTTCGTGGTATGATATTAAGATGTTGTTTTGCTATGGATTTTTTCAATATGTTTTAGCCATTATAATCTCTTTCTCATTTATAACATCATCGTTTGTGACGTATCATAAAATGGGGGCCATAAGTTAAGAAGATCATGCTGACTCCTACCACAGAACGGTAGTAAAGTCTTTCCTTGGCACCTGAGGTCAAACAGATTTTGGTACGGGTATTTTTGCTCAGTCGTCAGTTTTTTATTTAGAATTTATTGATTTTTTATGTTTCTTCTTTCATTTGTCCTGTTATGCATTTTAAAAACTATAGGGTCAAAATCAAGACATGTAGGAAACCAATAATAATGACAGATGAACAATTGTTGAATCCAAAAACCTCCTTGCATATATTGTGAGTCTTTTAAACGAAAGTAAGATATTTTCCACAATCATATCAAACTATACACTATCTTTAAAGGCGTCATTTAGTGGTTGATGTCACAATTTCTAAAATAATTTCCAATATTCATGAAAGCTTCGGCAAGTTTCGATTTTCTAAGTTTTACCCCATATGTGTCTATTACAATGCTGGGAAAGATACTATTTTACTCTGTTCTGTCGGCAGTAACATACCATCTGCTCCGTCGAATGGCGTTAATATTTCTGTAAATACGTTATGCTGGTGCATGTTCACACTATACGGACTTCGTTAATAGGGGGCGTGCTGCTTACAAAAATATTGCTCAGAGTTATGAAGAAGATAGAGTGAAATCGAAAATATATGATGTTCATGTTCAGCATCAAGAATTTGTTGACCGATATGATGTGTCGGTGTCTCAACTCACTAGTGACATATTTTAGCGATCTTAAATCTTTAGAAACCAGTAAAGACGTCTGACTTAAAATTTTCTGATTGTGTCCTATTCCCTATTGAGACAATTTGGCTGAGTTTGGAATCGAAGGGCGGGTGATGCATTTTAACAGGTTACTCTCATCCTGTCGACGAACCCAGTCTCGTTTCTTTAGATTTCGTGAGATTACCTCAGTTTAAGTTTTTGCCTTGATTTGTCTCTTCCTCGTCGATTTGCTAGATTTGAACATCGGTAAACGATTTGCTAGATTTGAACATCGGTAAACTACTGTCACCTTAAGGTTGTACTTTGTAAATACAGCTATTTCACGAACCACGCCTCTTTTGGGGAGAAGTTTTAATATTCATAGATATTTTGTTTTGTTTACCTACTGGTATGATCTCTATGCTTCATCTCGTAAAGACACAAGTTGGGACTGTTACCAGTATAAATGCACATGGATAGCGGCCAAATTGAGTTCTGAGGAAGACACACAGTGAAAGGAGGGGTAGTACAGAATTTTAGTATAAGTTTAAACTATTAGAAATTCGAGGCATATAAATGAAAATATGCCGCACAACCCTATGTTTTGACCTTTGAAAAAAATAGTAGTGCATCTAAACTTTCCATTCTAGGATATGTTTGTTTACATAGTAAAGGTGGCACAGTTTTAGCCGTAAAAGGAGTTCCCATGGGAAATTGCATTTTCTATATTTAAAGAAGTGCAATCTATATGAACATGTATAGCTTTTCTAACTACATGTTAACTCAGTGACAATGTATGTTAATATTCCTCCCAACTTTCTATTACTTTTCATTACGACATGTCATCGTCTGTAGTGCTGATAATAATTGCCAGGATGATGTGACCTTCAGCGTATGCATTTGTTGACTGTTAATTCTGCATTAATTATAGACATTATATCAATAATGTCATATTTTGAAGCTTTACTTTTCCAATGTGATATTCGGATAAATTTGCAACCTTTTTTTCGTTCGATTGACCGATTTCTCTTTAATTTGTGTCATTTAAAATATTATTGACGGTAGTTTTGTCTTATAGAGAGTCGTCAACAAATTGCTTTGATTATTTGTAATAGATATACAAAATTAGTAACAAGATCTGGGTATTGCCATAATTTACATTATATTGTCTGTTAATGAATACTGTTAATATTCAAAATTAAGGTTCCAACCCTCTCAAGCAAAGTTCTTAGATCCAAATGTCTGTTCTGTTGAACCCTTGTTAAGTTTCGATGCTCTCAAACGTTTCATTATTTGCCAAACAAACTATTGGTGTTACAAGCATACATGTACGTAAAATCATTTTCTTATCAAAAAGACATAAAAGATATAAGCCAGGGGCCGGTTTCACGAAACTATCCAAAGACCTGTCATAAGATATATCTTAGGACATGTCGTATGATCCTCTTGTGACTATCTTAGGACATATCTCAGACCTCGCCTCGATGCTGTCTAGAATGATCTTAGCAAAGATCTCCTAAACCTGTCGCAAGTTCTTTAAATTTTTAAAATATGAAGATGGATTTATGGAAAAATTCATGTAAATGTAGTATGTGTTTCCCATAAATTACTAAACGTATTGATTAATTTTGAATTTATTCCATAATAAGATAATTTGCAAAACTAATATAAAAAATAAGTGTAATTTATATAAATAATCTATTAATAATACACCAATATACGTATGAAAATTCAAATACAAAATTGAGAAAAAAAAAGAATAAAATGATCACGATTTTTTTTTTTGTACAAGTCAGTTGAATTCAATTTGTCACTGTATCGGTTATAATAAGGAAGGTTAAAGGATGAAATCGTGCATTCTTTCTATAAATACATCGAATGTTCATTGTTGATAAATCATTTTGATAATCCGTCAACCTATAAAGATTTAGTTGTGAGCAGGAAAAGGAGTCCAAATTTCACAGAATCAGAGCTTCAAACTCTTTTGGATGCCGTGAAAAAGAACAAGTCAGTGTTTTTCAGTAAACTGTCAAATGTGATCACAAATAGTGTCAAAAAGAAGATTTGGGAGAATATATGCTGTAAAATTAATGCAACAAACCACACAGACCATAAACGTACGGTAGAGGAGATACGGAAGAAGTGGACGACCTACATGAGCAGTGTTAAGAAGGCTGTTTCAAATAATCGTCGCGAGACACGGAAGACTGGCGGCGGACTTCCACCAGAGGAAGTGACTCAACTTAAAGATAAATTCGTCGGGATCATTGGAGAAACCCAAATAGAAGACATAGAAGGAGGAACTGACACAGGATCTGTACCATCTGCTGATGGAAGTGAAAAACAAATGTCTTGGACTTCACTTTCCCTACCTTTCCGAATTCTAGAAGTTTAAATTCGACTATGGAACACGGTAAGTTTCTTTATAAAAAATAATAAGATGTTATGAGGACAGTGGCTAATCAAGGGGGTCCGGGGATTTTAGCCCCCCTTTTTGTTGGACACCTAATAGTTTTGTATGGGGAAATATGGTTGAAACCCCCTTTTTATATGACTTGCATGTGTTGGAACCCCCTTTTAAAATGGCTGGATCCACCCCTGGAGGGCCAATGAGACAACTCTCCATCCAATACACAATATAATTAATGTAAGCAATTATAGGTTACGGTACGGCCTTTAACGCGGAGCTTAGGTTCACACTAAACAGCAATCTATAAAGGGCCACAAAATTGCGTGTGACTTAGGACAGAAACATAAAAAAGTAGCGGGGTTAAACGTATACACTAGTATCACCCCCTCCCCCCTAAATTTTACTCCATTAATATGCAATACAAATTCTAGTGCCTAATTGTTTATTATACCCCCTGGCAAACAAAGTTTGAGCATTTAGGAACCACACTGTCCGTCCGTCTGTCTCTCCTTCCGACGGTGTAAGTGCAACTAATCCTTAAAGGTCCCTTAAAGGCTTATTGGATTTTTATTATATATATATATATATATATATTTATAAGAACGATATTATAATTTACACAGTTGTAGTACAGTACATAAAATACGTTAGTGCATCATGTGCAATTTTTTCACATGTGGTACGATAACTCGTTTGCTTTAACAACATCTTGCTAAACTATAATTGTATAACAAAGTGTCGGGACTAACATTAGAAGGGTTCATAACTATTTTGATGCATTTAGCTTGTGTATCTTTAAGACTCGCATTGCTCTTTGTCTGTTATTTTCAATCTATTACAATATAAAACCGATGAATATAAATTAGTTCATTCTATTTCAGAACATAGATGCTCGCTCTTGACAGAGAGCTCCAAGGATTCATGTATGACAGAAGTGTCACCAATCGCCTAATCTACAATGAAATCTAAGAAGACGCTTGAGGACAAAACAACACAGAGTTTGATTGCCATCGAAGAGAGACGACTGAAAGTAGAAGAAGATAGGCTTCGTGTTGAAAAACAGAGATTGACCATGGAGTCGGAAAAACTTGCTACAGAAAGACAGCGATTTTACATTGAACAACAGAAACACCAACTGTATATGGCACAAATGAACATTAATTTCGCACAAATGGTTATCCAAGTGTTAGACCAACAAACACTGAACACACCTGATGATGGCTAGATGAAAATTTATATAACTCGCATAATATTACATTACAACTTTTTTGTTTATCTTAATTCATTTGAATTATTATTGAGTTTAGTATTTTGTTGTTTTGTTTTAAAGCTGTCAACCTAAGCATTGAACGATTAATAAACTTTCTGCACAATAAGTAGAGGATTTAATAAATGTCTAGTAGTTGAAATGGTAGAAAATACAACATAAAAAAGTATTTCAATGATACAACTTATTCAATGTCTAAATCTTCCATTTATCTCCCTGTTTCAAACATTTGCACCATCATTCAAATGGCCGAAATACTGTTTATGTTTCCCTGGTCTGGGCGATTCCCGTCAATGTCTGCCAGCAATGGGATTCTATTTGTTATACACATATTATGTAAAACATTCACAGCAATAAAAATGTCACAGCATTTTAATGGTTTGTAAAGCAAATGTGCCAACACTTGCATCTATGTTCGTGATTTTAAACCTCCAAAACTTCTTTCGACAACGCTCCTTGTCTTCATGTGGAAGCATTATATCTTTAATGATTTTTCATTGTTGGGTTCAGCACAGGAGTGAGAAGCCATGGTCTAAATGGATACCCACTATCTCCTAATAGCCATCTATGATCAATTGTTCCGTCCTCAAACATTTCACTTAAGCTAGAATGAAGGCGTTATGAGTTGCACCTGGCCATTTAGCTACAATGTTCAAACATTTCATGTCAGAGTCACATACTCCTTGAACATTAATAGAGTGATAGTTTTTTTCTGTTCACATATAAATGTTCATCTTTTAATGCAGATTTTATCCTAATGTGCGTCCTGTCTATTGCTCCGACGATATTTGGGAAGTCATCAATGATATAAAAGCCTTCTATCATGTTATGCAGCTGTGCTCGATCAGCTGGCATCTTGATATAATCGTTGCATACTCTTTTCAAACACACTGTCACTTCACGGGTAATTCTTGAAACTCTCGAGATGGAAATGTTATGTACGTCGGCATTAACGAGCTCCCAGTTGCAAAAAAATCTCAAAGCAACTATAACTTGTAAAGACACAGGGAAAGCGTGAGATCCCCTCGTTGGTCTTTGGAGATTAAATTCAAACATTTTGCAAAATATCAATAATCATAGAACGTGACAGTCTGTATTTTCTTACTATTTCTGCATCATCTAAGTAATCCAAATGATTGTCAGGGTCTCTGAATATTATATTTCTGCGTATATTTTGTTGTCGTCGTCTGAGGTGCATTAAAACTGCAGCAGCCATATTTGTTTACAACTCATGTTAGGACATCATAACGATGTCTTAACTTATGACTATCATAAGACCATCATAAGACACCTCTCGTGTAGTCCTAACTTTATGACCAACTTTAAGAGATGTCCTAAGTTAGGACCACTTGGTGAAACACACTTAGAACTAAGATATGTCGTAAGACCATCCTAAGACAGCTTTGTGAAACTGGCCCCTGGTATCCTTGATAAGTTTATATATTTGTACCATTCTGTAATTTCATTTGAATAGAAAAAGCAAATTACTAGTACATTTTGATCAATATAAATAATAATACTCTTTAATGTCTAATATTTGAAGGCAAATGTGTTTTCCATAACATGCTTCAACGAAATATCAGAATTTTTCAATATTTTACTTTGTTCAGGGTTTGAATGAAAAGGATTGGTGAGTTAAAGTTTTGTTAGTATATTTAAAAATCAAAAATACTGGAACAGCTTAATTTAGATTATTATCATTCTTCATTAATTGAGAGTGTCATGTAAATTATGACGGTCAGTTATCTAAAAAGATTGATGCAGGAACCCTGTTTCATATAATTTGTTATAACTTGTATGGTTTTTGCTATTCCCTCAATGTTCGGTTTGTCATACAGCGCCATAAAATAATTATGGTTTTTAAATTGTTTTGTATTGAGCGTTCTTGGTGACGATAAATCATTAAAAGCAATTTAAATTATCTAACAGGATCGATACAATGGCTTCGATATGGCATGCGTCTGACAAAAATAGGCACCTAACAACTGCTCATATAACAAGCGATATTTTTTTGATATGACTATGTTGAGCTAAGGCGTCCTCATGCTGTTTCGCCTTTTGTTTAGCCCTGTGTATTTAAATTTGTCTTTCCTAGTCACGGACTGTCTGATTGATAGGTGTCTGAGTTATTCCCGTCTGATGGCAAATATTCCATGTTAAATCAGGACGAGAACAAATAAAACATAACTTTAGATGAAAATAACCCGTTTGATAATTGCATGTCTGCACCGAAGCACTGACTACTAAGCTTTTGATATAAACATGAAGTGGATAACATCAATGGTCTTTAATAAACACTAACGATCGTCGTTTGAAACAGGAGACAGTTGTATACACTCGTAAATTCATTTTACCAGAAACGAAGAATAATAAATCCGCGCCTTTTTTTAAGAATCAGCTACATTTATCTCATCTGAATAACTGGTGAGGAACTAAGCAGTATGCATAAAATAGCCGGTTACCACGTGTAAGTATCTACCTTCCCTAGCTTATAAAGAAACAATGCAATCAATATCATTTTATTTTATTGTTTAGGAGACAAGATCACAAAAGATGTTTTTTTTTTTTTATATGTAACTGAAATCAATAATGAATGATATTATATTCATTAATTTAAATAACAGTTAAAATAAGTTTAATACAATATAAGCTGACGCATTAATGTCATATAATGTAAAGTTTGGTAATATGTTAGTGACCTTGCCATAACGTGAAAATTTAATGACAATTGGGAATGGTGATAAACGAGAAATTGAAATAAATGATAATAAATGGACACATATGAATGAAGTATTTAATACTTCAAATGAACAGGCGATAAATAATTGAAAGTCACACACACACACATACAGTCTACGTATATACCAATAAGAAAAAAATTATAATTTTGTCACCTTTTATTTTGTTAATAATGGAGACCCCGTGTATTGTATAGAAGTAAGAGTCGTCAAACATTCATAAAAAAAACACAAGTAATGTTTTATCTTTCAATATTTTCAGATATTGTATTGTTTTTTTAAATTTCATTGGTTTAAGTAACGATGCCTAGTTGATGATGGTTGGGATCGGCATCATCGTTTGGAGGGAGATTATAATGGGTTTATTTGATCTTTTCAGGATTTATGAGAATGTATTATTATTTTTGTTCCAATTCATCTATTTTGACAAACTGTATCATTTCAGAAAAGCTTGGTGGCTAATTCCCAAGAGACATGTCGACTTTACATTGAAGTTTTACATTTAATACTTATATTGACAATGTTGGTGCATCTGCAAAGTCCTATGCCATATATTTTAAATCGGACCGTTATTGTTTATGCAGGCCACGTTGGATTCCCAATGTGTCCAATTTATCGACAGAAATATTTTACGACATACGGCAAATGTCAAGAATTGGTCAAAACTAACCTTGCACGTTATAATAAATGAGCTTCCACAATTCTAAAGCCCACCATTTCTAAATAAAAAAAACTTTTTTTTTTATAGAATATCCCCAAGCAATGTACAGACAATGGTGCTCATGTGTCCGTGTGTTTTGTCTGAATTTTGCAACCATGGCATTATGTAAAATTACTAGCATATAGTTATCTTTGATGAGTTTATGTATAGTGGATAAAGTATAACTACTACTGTTGCTTTCATACATGAAATATATCTGTACATTCTTAGAACATTTCTTTTTCTATTTGGATGCCTTTTACAAGTACGTTCCTTGATATGTATGTCTTACTTTTTACTGGATTTTAATATGTATCAGCTGAAATTTAATGTGTGATGAAGTTAAGAACATAAACAGTCTATCGATGTTTTGTTTGTGGGAATAGTACTGACGTGGTTTGCTTTGAATTCTGCGATTTGATTACAATATTTTTCATCAACATTAATTTACTGATTAAAGTTTATAGATAATATAGATGATCCTATGGGTTATCCAGAAGTCCAGCAAATTTGCATTCACAAGAAAACATTACTATACACAATTTCATTGTATCATAATGATGTTGAGGAAGACTCTGTCGGGAACCTGGATTTCAGTTTCAAGGTCCAAATGATTTTATCCATGAAAATCCATTCGGACGATAATAAATGCAGATAAGACTTAGACATTTTACTATTGTCATACATTACTTTCGATATCTGAAAAAAAAAACATAAAGAGTTTATGATAGAAGTAATTAATATGAACTTAAAAGCGAGCAAATATGTTACAGTTAAAAATGTTTATGAAGTTAAGATGTTGTACAAAGCGGCATAACCATGAAATGTCATGCATATCACTCAAGAAAATAACCTGAGAAATAAAAAAAATGAAAGTTTTATTCTATACAATTAAATTATAAGATTTTACGCAATGTTTACGTCCACGTTGAACAATCACACATATTAGTATGAATAATAAGCAGTCAATTCTTAAAAAGGGAAAGAAATGAATCGTAAATATCAATAATTAATTAGTACCTTTTCAAAGTTTTTATTTTCAGTTTTGTGACGATATTTTGAGAAAATAGTATGTCAATAGCATGTCACGTTTTCGGGTCTTTTACGTGTATAATCAACTAAGGTTGGAGTGGGCACTTTGATCATTTGTTTTGGTAGGCATGAGCGGCTGAGACATCCAGTACCCCACCCTTTTCATATATTTTGAATAACAGAAAAAAAACATCATTACGTATCATATGTATTTGACCAAAAATACACCCGTAGTTGTCATGATTACGATATTTCATGTGGAGATGAAATAGATTTCACTTTTACAAATTGTGACTTGGATGGTGAGTTGTCTCATTAGCACTCATACCACATCTTCTTATATCTATTGACAAATATCTTATGTATTTCCGACTGTGGTTTTAATTGCATCTTTGAAAATATCGGAATATTACTAGTTTCAAAAACGTTTGCTTAACCAGTAACTTTCATCTTAATTTATCCATCTTACCATATATTTTTAACCTCGAAAAAGTTACCTTTTCCAAAAGTTCAAATCTGCTACCTTCAAATTCACATGTAACAATTATAACAACTCACTTACCCTGTTCATCATTGTAGTTATATCGAAACTGGTTTATTTTAGTCTGAAAATATGCAAATATTCTCTGACTTGGTGTAAACTGTTTTACCCGCTGCCTACATAAAGGGCACTTTGTCTGACTTTTTAAAGACTCTGTCATACACTTTTGATGGAATGCTGAAAAATGATACATACGTATTGTTCCGATTCCATTGTTTTAGTTCATGACATTTAATAGCATAGAATTGCTTTTATCTGAAGCAATTATTTTTTCATCCTATATTTATAACTATCCGTTTCAAATTATAATATCAAAATAAAAAATATCATAAAAAAACAAAAGAACCCGAATTATTAATCAAGATTTATTTGAAGTAAAGAATTTGTACACTTAAGACGTCATTTATTTTAGCAAGGACTCAGTAGGTGCATCTACAAGCTTAGATCTTAAAAACCATAGTGAAAAAAAATTACTTTACAGTGTATTCATCATCGTTACTGTAGAACTACATTTAAACGAAATTAAACAATAATAGCATGTAAAACAAAGACTTTATACTTTGCAAAAGACAAAAGTTTAAATTAAATTAGCAGGTTAATAAAATTCCACTTACTATGGTTACAATGTAGTTAAACAATTTTCTTACTATGGTTACAATGTAGTTTAATAATTTACTTACTATGGTTACAATGTAGTTTAACAATTTGACCCATTCTGGAATCTTTAGAATCTAGACAGACACCACAATCAGAACCTGGAAAACAGAAGGCATTGTATCAAAAAATATATTATAGTTGATTCATATAAATAATGTGGTATGAGTGCCAATGAGGCAACTCTCCATCCAAATCACAATATATAAAAAGTGAGCAAATATAGGTCAAAGTACGGCCTTCAACACGGAGCCTTGGACCACACCGAACAGTAAGCTATAAAGGCCCCAAAATGACTAGTGTAAAACAATTCAAAAAGGAAAAACAACGGTCTAATCTATATAAAAAACGAGAAACGAGAAACACTTATGAACCACACCAACAAACTACAACCACTGAACAACAGGCTCCTGACTAAGGACAGATGCATGAAAATGCAGCGGGTTTAAACGTTTTAACAGGCGCCAATCTTCACCCTAACCTGAGACAATAGTGTAACATTACAACATAAAAAGCCACACTATAAAATATTAATTGAAATGGCTTAACTCGATCAAAAAGACATTTATACAAACACAAGTAAACATACGCTGAACGAAATAGTTTGTTGTTAGGAGTACGGAAGTAAACATTTTTTACAAAATTAATAAATTAGTTGTTCACAGTACGAGTACAGAAGTGAATATTTGTCGTCATACTAAATACTTATCAAAGGTGGAACATATTAGAAATAGTGAGACGAGAAATAACACAAATTAAGTAAACATTGAATTACAGAAATGCATTACAAATTGTGTCAACAGGGCAAATTAACACGAAAGTGCGATTTGAGAGTACTCGCAGTTACTGAAAGCTAGTTAAAATCCAAAAACAATGAATAATAAAAATATCAGGCATCAGAGACTAAAATCAATTAAAACACATCCGAGGGATTTAGTGTTTTAACGCCATGGACAGTCAAAGAAGACATGACTTGTGCAATGCCAAAATAAAAGTATCGACAAGCAGTAGGATCGTTATGATATAACTTTATAATAAATATGTATCATGTTATATATAGATAAAGCAATCTCTAAATAGAAAATAAACGTCACCATCTTATGGTGTTTATATATCTCAACTTGTACGATTCGCTCGTGTATGTAACAACGTATTAGATTTTAGCGAGAGAAATTTATGTATTACTGAAAAATTATTACACCAGGGTTTTCGATATCATAAACTAGTCAAAACATTTACTAAATTTTATCATCGGTATAAGGACATCATTCGTAAATATAACTCAACATGCAGACATCTTATACGTTCAGGTATTTCACATCCAATCTTTTATGGTAATATTATTTACAAAGCACAAAAATGTCAGTATTCACCTCAAAAGCTAACAAAACCTTTAAACAGACTTATTAAGAAGGGATATAGTTACGATACTGTTGTCAGGTCATTAAAGATTGCATATTTTGGCTTTAATATTGATTCACTTATAGGGTCTTTGCATCGGAATTAAACATATTTATTCTAAAACCAGTTGTTGGCATGACACGGGTTATGTTCTTCTCACATATTTTATGATGGTACAATATTAAAATCCTAACAGGAGGGATTGTGCCTGATATTCATATGATAAAGACATAAACTTTCAATCAGTTTAATTGAGGTCTGGAACTGGTATGTCAGTAACTGCTAGTAGTCTGTTGTTATTTATGTATTATTGTCATTTTGTTTATTTTCTTTTGTTTGCTATTCTAACATCGGACTCGGACTTCTCTTAAACTGAGTTTTACTGTGCGTACTGTTGTGCGTTTGTTTTTTCTACATTGGCTAGAGGTATAGGGGGAGGGTTGAGATCTCAAAAAACATGTTTCACCCCGCCGCATTTTTGCGCCTGTCCCAGGTCAGGAGCCTCTGGCCTTTGTTAGTCTTGTATCATTTCTAATTTTAGTTTCTTGTGTATAATTTAGAGTTTAGTATGACGTCCATTATCACAGAACTAGTATACATATTTGTTTAGGGGCCAGCTGAAGGACGCCAGCGGGTGCGGGAGTTTCTCGCTGCATTGAAGACCCATTGGTGGCCTTCGGCTGTTGTCTGCTCTATGGTCGGGTTGTTGTCTCTTTGACACATTCCCCATTTCCATTCTCAATTTTATATATTTTACTATGATTATCAATTAACAGAAAAACATTCAAAGCTTGCCATACAAAAATAATGCTTAATATCCTCTCAGCTACCCTGGGTATGGATCGAATTCGTTCTTAGTTTTCCGTCTACGCGATACGACCACCCCACAAGAGGCGTCTGTGTAACTGTGTGGGGTGTTTAAGTACGCAGCCATCAGGTCGGAATAGGGACGTTAAACCTTCAAGCTTATTTGAATCGGGAAGGGAGAAAGTGCACTTTCTTTACGTTAAAGAACACTTGAAACAACTTTTTCAGGGGTCCGTACGTTGTCTATTGCGAGGCACACAATGTCTGCGTCTAATCAACATGTCCTCATTTTCAATTAGCAAATTAGATATTTCGCCCTTCATCTTGGTCAACACGCTTTGTTCCAATTGTCGTAGTCGCAATCTCGTCCTCTTTGTCTCGAATGTGACCTACCGAACTAGATTTATCACCGGTTTTGTACTTACATGAGCGACACGACGGGTGTTACATGTTGAGTAGGATCTGCTTACCCTTCTGGAGCACCTATGATCACCCCACGTGTTTTTTTGTCATGGCTTCTACTTATGAGTTTGGTAATCCTTTGGTATCTTTTACGAGAAATATTCAAGAACTGTAGTTCTGGTTTATTTTATGATATATAATGTAAGAGAACAAAAATATATCATATTTTCGCCGCAATTCTTAAGTAATGATATTAAATAAAATTGCGTTTTAGCACATTCGGTATGTGGTAATTTTCAACGCAGATATTTGATTTTAGAAGCGATCCTTTGCACTAAAGAACCATCTTTTGTTAAAATTGAAAGGAAGTTTGAATTTTGTCATCTTAACTTCTGAACAACTTAAACCAATAGCTATATTTTAAAGTAATGACCCGAATTAAACAAAACAGACTTTTGCCTTATTGGTGCTTTATACTTTGCTTTATAATGCTGAAAATATTCATGTTTTGAGTTGAAATTGTTGTTTCACTGCATTTAAATGCGAAATTGTTCTTTTATTGCAATAAAAGGTTATTTCCTTCAGGGAAATCTTGTCCACACACCTTAACACACCAACGTTGTCATAGAATCGTCCAATAAAGTTACGATACACATCCTCTGAAAAATTATGTTGGTCCCTGAAGTTTGTCTTAAAGCAAACATTATCCAATATGTGGACCTACATCAGATACTGGGATGATTGTCATTATAAAAAGACACACCATGGCATTATCATTAATGCAATTTACCAAAACGTGTTGAATTGTGTTCATCAGGTATTTTTTGCATATTTTTCGACTTTACCTAAATTCTATATAATTTTGCAGGTAAAAGGTTGAAATTTAAAAAAAAACGGAAGATTTGAATTACTATTGTTAAACAGCAAGGATTGAAATACAGAATTTATGAGTGTCAAAAAAAAAGAAGAACAGGAAGGACGGAAGAGAAATCGATTTTCACTCCCGCCGGCAGAGTCACATGTCTGAATTATTATTTAGACTTACAATGACTTCTCGTGAGCTTACCGCTGTATGGTTAGTTGCATTATGTTTATCTCTATAATTTATAACTTAAAGTATTTGCTTGCCTTTTCATATCACTGTTATCATAGGACCGAGGAAGTAAATTAAAGAGAAAGTAAATAGGAAACCAGAATGAAAACAATTCGGAATTATCAACGGTCTTTGAAAGATAAAAGATGTTTTGGATTTACCTTGATAAGGTACAAATAGTAGTAATTAATGTAAGCCCATACACCAACGTTGCAAATTATTGTTAAAAAGTCAGTTAAACAAGATACGATCAATCACTTTTTTTCAAGGTAGGGCCTATTACTCCTGAATTTATTTCTCACAAGCGCCATTTTCTAAATGTCCTTAATTCTTTACTTAAACTCGCTGTATTATGGATTCATATAAGTTCTTTAAGGCTTTAACAACATTTTGGAGCATTTTCGAACATGTGACAAAATTATTTAACAATGCTTCAAAACAGTTATTTAAAAAGTCTTGGACAAAATTAGCATAACCTTTAAAATTGAATAGAAAGGACATTGTTAACCAAAACCAAATTATGTAGAAAGTAACTCAGAGTCTAATTATTGTCATTCAACTACCAATTAATTCATTCCGTAGATGCAAAATCTAAAAAACATTTGTAGGATTTTCTTCAACATAAAATTGAGAATGGAAATGGGGAATATGTCAAAGAGACAACAACCCGAACAAAGAGCAGACAACAGCCGAAGGCCACCAATGGGTCTTCAACGCAGCGAGAAAATCCCGAACCCGGAGGATGTCCTCAGTTGGCCCCTAAATAAAATTGTGTACTTGTTCAGTGAAAATGGACGTCACACTTAACTCCAAAACATATCAATGAACTAAAATTAAAAAAACATACAAGACTAACAAAGGCCAGAGGCTCCTGACTTGGGACAGGCGCAAAAATGCGGCGGGATTAAATATGTTTTGTGAGATCTCAATCCTCCCCCTATACCTCTAGCCAATGTAGAATAAAGAAACACATAGCAATACGCACAGTAAAACTCAGTTTAAAAGAAGTCCGAGTCCGATGTCAGAATAGGTAACAAAAGAAACTAAGCAAAATGACAATGATACATAAATGAACAAAGGACTACTAGCAGTTAATGACATGCCAGTTCCAGACCTCAATTAAACTGATTGAAAGATTATGTCTTCATCATATAAAAATCAAGTACAATCCCTCCCGTTAGGGGTTAAGTATCATACCATCATAAAATATATGAGAAGAACATAACCCGTATCATGCCAACAACTAGTTTTAGAATAAATGTGTTTATTTCCGATGCAAAGACCCTATGAGTGAATCAATATTAATACCAAAATATGCAATCCTTAATGACTTGACAACAGTATCGTAACTATATCCTTTCCGAATAAGTCTGTTTAAAGGTTTGGTTAGCTTTTGAG